TTTTTTTAATGTGTTCAGCTCATAATTTATTAATTAATACAAATGGTTACGCCATTTAAATATTTAAAATCAAGTTTAGTGGAATATTATCAAAAAATAGTTGAATAATTGTTCATTATTATTGAATAATAATGTTTATGAAAAATAAGTATTTTTAGAATTTTATTGTTTCTACATATTTCTTTTAATAAAAATGCATATATTAAGAAAATAACTGTGAAATATACCAGGCGATTATTTAACACAACTACTTAATTTAAATAGTAGTATTAATAGATTTTTTTTTTTCAGTTACGTGATTTCTCAATTTATCAATCGAAATATAAATAAACATAAAATATGCGTCGTATATTTTGTTTATCCCACTTATATTTAATAAGAGTGTCATCTTTAATTTTTCAAATGGCAACTTATATACTTAACTAGATTATTTATTAGATAATAGATAATGTAATTAAGAAAATGACTGGTCATAATAACTTTTGGACCAGTATTTTGGAAGTTATTAACATTTTATAGTGATGGCTGTAGGTGAGACGCTGTTGTTATTATTTTTATCACAAGGCATTTCTCGACTTAATATTTCTTAATTTTTAACTTCTCGTTTAAAAAATTGTTAATAACGTCTGAAATGTTAATTCAAAAGTTGTTTGTTTTTAGAATTTGCATACCTTTTTAATAAAAATAGTAAAATGATAGTAGGTCGGTTAGTTTTTTTACACATATTACGATATAAATTACTTAATAAAAATTCAAATTTAAACTTTAATTCATTAAGATTATAGTTTTTCGCATGAAAAAATTGTACAATTTGTATACAAATTATTTTTAAATTGGAAATAATAATTAAAAAATGTATTTCTTTTCGATAGCTGCCTCAGTTAAAATCAATAAGCAAAAAAATCTACCCATCGATTATAATTAAGGATAAACATTTATTATGTAATTTCACCTCCAAGATTTTTTAAAAAGGCGTTATAAAGATAGCAATTTTTTTAATAATTTATAGTAAACATCTTTATTTTATTTTGCTTATAAATAAGCAAAATTATACCCCTTCTCTTCATTATAAGCGTTGGGTGGGGGTATTACAATTTAGCATCCCCAGAAATTTAGAAAAACTAAATTTAGCTCCCCCAAAAATTTTCTATTGTACGTCTACGCTCTTTATTTTCAAAATATTTATAACGATCAATAGTAGGGATATGCCTACTGGCTATGTTACTGTAAATTGAATACATTTCAACATTTTCAACTTAACTTTTGAAAGTGTTCCGGAAAGTCTGGCACTTTTATATATATATCTTAAATTAAAACTAATGTAATATACTTTATTATGGAAAATAAAATAATTTGAACTTTATTTTGTCTTCACGGTAAAAACAGACATCATAGTTAATAAAAAAAATACAATTTTTGTAAAAAAATTCTTTTTTATATTTTTAACTTTATAATGCTATAACTTTTTGGAAAATGTATGGATCAATGTAATTTTTTTTTATAGATGCATGATGTCTTTACCTATCATTTAGTATATTTTATTTATTTATTTGACTCTTTACCTGCCACGAGGGGAATTCAAAATGATAACTTTTTCAACTCAACTTTTGAATGTGTTCCGGTAATACTAACACTTTCATATATACCTCAAATTAAAGCTAATTTAATATACTTTATTATGGAAAAAAAATTCGGACTCTATTTTGTCTTGAAAGTGAAAATGGCTACCATATGCTATTTTTTTGTGAAAATTCTCGATTTTTTTTTTACATTTTTAACTTTATAATGCTATAACTTATTGAAAAGTGTGTGGATCAAAACAATTTTTTTATGAGAAATAATATTTATATCCCTTTTTTACTCAACATACTTTATCTTAATCAGGATGTAAATAAGGAAATAACAGATCATGTAGCTTTTGGAATAATCCATCAATTTTTTTAAATTAAACACTATCTAATGATTTGCATCGAAACGTTATTTTTGATAGTGATTTTAATCACTGTCAGATATCATTATACTTAATCCAACTATGCCACGTCACCACTGTGCTGTGACCCCCCTGTGCTGGTTTTTTTTTAGCTAATCGTCAATATTTTTAATAAAGCGTTCAATTTTACACTGTTTTCTTTGTGATATTTTTATTTTTTGACTATTCAAATTTCGTACAATAATTTTTATTCAAGTTAATAATTTCAGTTGTGTGCTTAAAAAAACACTTGTTCACTATTTGTATTCCAATTAAACTAAAGTGTGTAATAAACGATGGATATACATAATATTTTTTTTTGGCAACTCGCTTACATAAAGCCATAAAATATATGTAGAATTATTTTTTTCATTGTATGCATACTATTTATGTTATCATTCTGTAATCAAATGATATTTTTTGTTCACCGTTATTGTATTAAGTCAAATTGATTTGATTTATTATCAACTTAAGTTATTTATTCAAAAGAATATAAATAGTAGACAATAATGACAAATGGTAATACAATTTATAAAATATTATCTATATATAAAGTATTATTTTAACGGTAGTAAGTAAATATTTTACAAGTTTCTAATATCTTACTGATTATTCTATTCGAGATTTAGGCATTTCTCAAACTCGTTCACTTTGTCATGATAGACGTGTAGTATAAAATTGTTGTAAGGCTATTAAATTATTTGGATTCGTGAAACACAACATTTAAACATTTATAATTTGATCTTTTTCATAACTATTTTGTGTCTTTCCCTCTTTTATTTGATAATAAGATTTCGCTATGAATAATCAAACAACAGAGCTATTTTTGAACATTTTCAAAAAAAATTCTGCATTTTATAATATATATTTTATTTATATAAGACATATATATCTAATTCCTTGTTCTCCTAATGGTTACTCCTCTATTTTTAATGTTACAGATAAGTTCAAATTACGAATAAGGAGAGGAGAACAGATTATGGGTTTTAAAGCTCAGATTTATTTGTAAATGTAGCATAAATAATGTCACTTGTTAAGAGACCTTATTTTAAGTTGAAACCCCAGCTTTAAAATGTCTAATCTGAATTTGACTCTTATTTTTTTGGTTTGATTCTACTCTAGGATATGATTTTTATTAATTGAAGATGTATAATAAATTATTAATTCTAGCACAATATTTTTTTTCAACCTCAATCTGTTTTTTCTTAAGAAAATTAAGATTGAAACTCAAAAATTTTATATAAAATTGGACACCTGAAATACAACTATATACTACCACACCAGTTTATTCATTCCTATTTCTATTACTTCGAATAATTTCTTCAAATTACCATTTGTATTCAATATTAATTCGAATTATGCTAAACGCTATCATTGATTTTTTATTTTTATTTATGTACATTTTTTCGACAATTAGGTATTGGATATATGTCAATTCATTGTGGCTAAATTCTACACAATCAGTTTATCGTTAATATTTATTGTCAAATTTTATTAAATGAAAATAATCATATAAAACTATAATAATCACATAAATTTAATCATAATGAAAACAGTTGTTGATTTCTGTATCATAATTAAGTGTTTAAGTTACCACCGAATGTATATTCATATCACTGTTGCTACCTTTTTAATTATGTAAACTCTTTTTTACACCAACATCTGATGAACTTGAAACGTGATTTTGTTAGTCAATGTTTTTTATTATTTTCCTTTCGCATATGTAAACTTTTTCACGACGGTACTTAATTAATTCTTGAATTAATAGCTATGTAATATTTCTAAATTCATCCCTTATGCCTTGTAAGGGCGTCAACTTTGTTTTTTCAAATGGGAATACATATATGAATTTAATAAAATGTTTGAAGTTTTATTTGAACAGTAAATGGCATTTAAATTTTGAACAGAACTTTATTCGTTTATTAGATATAAAAATTTAATGTTTTAAATTTTTGAGATAATATACATGTATAATGTACAAGGGATCGCAAATACAGGTAGCTAGTTGTTTTTTATGGTGTCGCATCCGCAGATACGCAGTGAATTATGTTATTATCAAAAGATATGATTAAAGTGTGGTTGTAAGGAACATTGTTGTGAGTTCACATTTATAAATACGCCACTGGCAATACAGAAAACATATCTGTCTATAGTCATAATTAACAATAAACGATCCATATTTGTGATAGTGATATCATAAAAAACCATTTACTTACCCGTATATGAAATCCCTAGTATATTTTATATACAGGGTGTTCAGTAAGTCAGGAAACGGGTATCTATTGTTCTCATTGTTACAAACAATGAGAACAATAGAAACCCGTTTCCTGACTTACTGAACAATCTGTATAGTGTACCATTCCATAGTACGCGACAAATTTAGCGCAATGAGATGACATGAAATACATCAAATAAATCTAACTGACAACTTTCGATTCGATTATTATATATCTGTAATTTTTTTTGTAACCATATTTGTATTTTTAAACTTTATTCAAGTATATATTTATTATTTGTTTCCAGTAAGAAAATATTGAAAATAGAAATTTTATATTTTACAAAATTCCATAATAACCATTTTTGCGTTTTTCTAACAAGAAATGTTGTTGGGTCGATAAAAATTTTAGAATAAGTGCTTATTGGGTTACCAGGTTAATACATTGAGTGGGTATGTAACGTAAGAGAAGTATTCATTATAAATGCACACCAGTACGAGTTGTATCTACCCGGATCTACCTACTCTGCGGACCATAATCAACCTACATTAATTTCATTTATATCTTGTTGAAAAATTCTTTAAAGATTGCTTACATAATTTTTAACACAGTTCATTTTGCGATCTCTTAAAAAATCGCTTATAATTAATGCACGAGAAATGTAAGGCGAGTAAAGTATTATTTCATATACGCACAATCTGTTGATTGATAACTACAATTAATATAGTTTTTTGTTATCGGTGTATTTCTTATAATACATTGTATACATTTATTTTTCAATCTTATATTATGAGCGATAGTAAATTTATTGAGAAAGCATTGAATCCACCAGTTACTATAAAGACGGACTCGTATAAAGACCGTTATTAACCGACAATTATGTCGTTGCTAAGTTTTTTGAAAAGTAAACTCTCAGTAGAGCCGACAGGGTTCCTTTATTTCGTCACGTTAATATTCTCGGGTAGCTTGGGAACAAATCTGCTGTTGTACAAAGCATGTGATCCGACTGGTGGTATCGTTCATCGGATAGGTGCCAAGTGTGACATTGAAACCGAAGCTCAACACATAGTGGCTCCTATAAATGGATGGAAGGGTATAATTCAGCAAGTAATTCCGATGGTAGTGACAATGTTTGCGGGAGCTTGGAGTGATCGACACGGTCAACGAAGGCAACCGTTGATCTTAGGTCCAGTAATTGGATTGATAATTTCTGACATTTTGTCGGCTTTTTGTACAATTCAATGGTCGATCTCTCCGTGGATCACGGCCGTTTTGCAGTCGTTGCCGTTGGCCATCTCGGGAGGATCCCCATTGATGTTCATAGGGATTTTTTCTCATGTCGCCGACACTACAACAATAGAAATACGGACTATAAAGTACGGATTGGTTACATGTACTATATTTTTGGGGGGAATTTTCGGAATGCTAATTTACGGAAACATAGTTCTTATGCTGGGCTTCTTTTACACGTACACCGTTTCCATCGCAATGGGTATAGTCAACATATGTTTAGTGTTAATTTTCGTAAAAGATGCTACCGCGAGCTACACAAAAAAGCCTTTAGTCAAAGACATTATCGATACTGTGAATCCGATGAACATTTTTCGGTCGTGGTACGGCGTGATAAGTAAGACTCGCAGTCGTCATGTCTCTCTGGTCTTATGGTTGGTGGTACTCTTGTGTTCACCATTAGTAAATGTGCCTTTGGAAGGTAATTAATGAAACTACATTTTTTACGTCTATTAAATAACAAATGTTTAAAAACACACATTTTTGTTAAATGATTATTAGGCGAAAATGCAGTTACATATTTATATTTACGGAAAAGGTTTAATTGGAACGAAGTTGATTTTAGTATTTTCAATGCCTACCAAATGTCGATCTTATTAATTGGTAAAATAATTTATACATGTTAATGAAATTGACTATAACGCAGTAATTAAATTATGTAATACTTTTATATCTGTATTTACAAACAACAAATACAATCATAATGAGTTGCTAATGAGCAATTAAAATTTGTGTATTATATTTGAATACGCACTTATTAAATGCATTTATTATTTCAGGTTCTTTGATATCTCTAGGTCTTTTGAGTCATATTTTTAAATGGGACGACGCTCTAATCGGCTTATTGACATCATTTTTTGACTTATTGGCAGCCATTGCTTTCTTTTTTGCTAGTGAACCATGGCAGGTGTATTGCGGTAATTTTTAAATAAATTAAATATAAAAATTGATGAGTCAATTCAAAACTTGGGTGATTCGAAATTGAATTTTTCTTGGCGAAATTTGATTTTAAAATCATAATTTTAAATTTTGTTGCTCTTGTTTCAGTTATTTAATTGGATTTTATCTAATATTTCAAATCAAATTTTAGGACGATGTCAAAAAAAAAATATTGAGAAATAAATGAGAATAACAATCTCAAGAAATAAAATTTCATTTCATCATTATTCTATATAACTTATATTGTACTCGTGTACAGAGTGATTCATTTTTTATAAATCATTCAATATAAGGGTGTCAACTTAATTTTTTCAAGTAGTAACACACATAATCAACTAGCTTATTCAATAGATTATTATTTAATTATTAAGACTATTATGACTAGTCAATAACAACTTTTCAACAGAATTTCGGAAATTATTGATATTTCTATACTTTGGCGGGAGGAAGAGTACGACTGGGAAATAACTAACAACACCCACGTCACACTTTCAGTCATCACTATAAAATATTAATAACTTCCGATATACTTGTTTAAAAATTGTTCTCGACCAGTTTCTTAATTAACTAATATAAAAGCTAGTTAATTATGTATGTTGCAATTTGAAAAAATAATGTTGACATCCTTATTATATATAAGGAGTGGACAAAAAAAAATCATTTATTATTGATCAATTGAGAAAAAAATATACCGAATACAAAATCCTCAATATTATTTTTTGATCAATTAATCATGATAAATAAATTATCCTGTATATTCACCCAGTATAAAATTAAGGGGGTATAAGAGAGTCTAGAGACTCAAGTTCCCTATAATTAAATCTTTGCACCGAATTGAAAACTAAATACTTGCTAAACATTTACAAAAAACTGATATTTCAAGTGAAATATAAGGGAAATAATTTAGAGTTACTTATGGAATGAACTCAGCTATAAATAAATAAACCCAGTTCACATTCCTAAATCCTGACCAGTGTATATTGTGAATACGCAATAAACTTTAGAAAGAAAATAATCTTCTGTCTATAAAATTTTTAACAAATGTTTATATTTATTTACAGTTCCTCTGTTAGAACTTTTTCGAGGCGCTGGTTTAGCAATTACGGGCTCAATAGCTTCAAAATGTGTTCAATCCGACGAATTGGGTAAGTAATATTAATATTATAAAACTAATATTGAGTTATTAATTTTCGTTTTGATATTTAAGTGCCAGGAATATATTAAAGAGGGATTCATGATTAAAAAAAGAGGTTATTTTTTAAATTTAAACAATCTAAAAATTCCCGCAAATCTACTTTGTACCAGACTCCGCAATTTTTACCGCCCGTTTTGAGGGGGTTCAAAAATGTCACGTAATAACAAACCACTTGAGAGATTTGGGAGTTGAAAATGAGGTATGGCCGCCGAGTAGCTTAGTGAGGATAGCCAGAGATCTGAATTTAATACCCAGTTCGCGGGCATATATTTTTTTAGTAGTTGAGTTTCTAGCAACATTTATGCATAGAAAAAATGCAAATCAAAAAAATTAAATTTTAAACCACTAATGCTTCTTATTACCACTACAAGCAAAGTATCAACATTTTTATTAAAAAAAATATATTTTAATGTTTCTTTTATAAATAAATAAAATGTTTTGTTCAAACATTTATAAATATTTGAAAATGCGAATTAATTAAAAATCTAGTAATATAATAAATGGCTAAGGCAGTTCATGGTACCGTTTTAGGTTCAATGAATTCAATAAAATTATTGGTGGAATGTTGTATGCAAGGAATTTTTTTGCCGGTGTATAATAATGTTTACAATGCAACTTTAGAAACAATGCCCAATGCTTTCTTTCTGTTAAGTACATTACTTACAACTCCATTGTTGTTTTTATTTTGGTAAGAAAATCCATAATATTATTTGATATTTGATATAACAGTGTCGTGTTCAGGGTTTTGTCTTGGGGGTGGGGATATTCATAAGAAATTTTTTACTTCTTCCTCAAGAATACACCATTATCATTAATTTATTTTGATAATGATGGGTTCCATTCTCCATATCGCTCCTTCGTGAATACATCCATTAAACATTGTATACAGATATATGTAAACAAATTGTTTTTTCTGTTAACGAATAACTCTCAAAAATAATTTTTATCTTTATTTTTAACTTCTATTTACAACAACATTCTGATGGCTAAACAACATTTTTAGTGTGATATATTTTTTAACACGAAAAACTGCAAAATCTACAAGCAAAGACGAGTCGACCCACAATCAAAATGAGACAAATAATGTTGAAATGAATAACTAGTGACAATGATAAATCTTATGTATGAATATAATTTAAGAACAGTATTGTTTACTTAGTTTTACTATCGTTAAATCAATGGTATAACGTTTGTTCGTTGTGATAAAAAAATATTATGTAGAATAATTAACTATATATACTGTATTTGCAACAAATAAAATAGATTGCATTACTTATAATGTTAATCACCGTTTCCTATTACAAATTGTATGAGAATATCATGTTGTATAATATATAGCCATAACTATAGATTATGTCAATTGTAAAATTCATTTTTCAAAACTACATAGTTTGTATTAACCATCATCTAAAATAAGATATTACTAATGGAGTGAGAATTAATAATTGCACATGAACTTGCAAGGAAGTAATACACATATACAAGTCGATTGGTTTATCATAACACCACTGGATTACTCTCAAAATAAATACTATATTGATTTTTTATTTCTTTTAGTTACATGTAATTCTTGATTTAACAAAAACTAATTACTTTTTAGAATCATCCCTTATGACATAAACGTGTGTCAACTTTATTTTTTTTTAACTAGCTTATAAAATAGGGAATGATCTAATTTAAAAAATGACTGGTCGATACCAACTTTTGGACCAGTATACCTGAAGTTATTAACAATTTTAAGTAATAACTGTAGAACGTGTGCTACTACTTTTATCACTAGCCATACTCATCGTACCGCCAATGTAAAAAATGAGAATAATATTCTCTGGATATTATTCTAAAACCATTATAAAACCATCAAATCATAAATATCATGACACTGCTCTTAAAAATAACGTGCGTATGCCACTTGTATGTGTCTCGTGCGAGTACGTCATAGAAAATGTCATTCATGGTTATGCATACAAATGTGATAATTGTGACAAAAATGTGTGTTTATTTGCTTTACTGAATATAAATAAGGTCCTTCTTGTGTATTAATAGAATTTAAAGAATAATTTGCTCTCGAAATCTTGTCGATTAGACTGTTTATCGCCATGTAAACTTCCATCACCTAATTTTTATTTGTAAGTAGATTGATAAAATTAAGTGGTTCCAATAGGATTTGTCCAATAGATTATACACAATCAAATCTGAACGGTTCAACAATTTTCAGTTTTGAAACATGATGAGAGATTTTGTATTTCATGTTTTAATTAAATCTCGTTATCTGATCAGCGATGAAGACGTTTGATGAAAATGTTCATATTATGAAATTTTCATAGTCCAGATAAGAAAAGCAACAACATCTATTCAATAATAATATATAATTTAATACACAAAGCAAATAACAATAATAAGAAGTATTGATAAAAAACGTATTATCACAATATTGGTGTTTAGTAACCGGTCAGCGATCATTCCATTCAGTCTGTCAGGAACAACCGTCACGCGAACACGGCGAGCTCGAGTTTCATTCAGAATGTCAAAAGTTCTATCGTTTTTAAAAAACAAGGTCTCGGTAGAACCGGTGGGCTTTCTTTTTTTTATAACTATAATATTTTCAAGCAGCCTGAGTACGAACTTGCTGCTGTACAAAGCGTGCGATCCGTCTGGGACGATTAACAATCGAGTGGGCGCTAGATGTGATCGAGAAACCGAAGTTCAACACCTGGTGGCACCCATAAACGGATGGAAGGGTATGGTTAACCAGATCGTTCCGACGGTGCTGACTCTATTTGCGGGGACGTGGAGTGACCTCCATGGCCGCCGTCGTCGACCGCTGATCATGGGACCTATTATAGGCCAAATAATTTCCGACACGGTGTCCGTGTACTGTACGCTACACTGGTCATTGTCGCCGTGGCTGACTGCAGTCTTCCAAGTCATTCCTCAAGCTTTTTCTGGCGGCGCCCCATTGATGTTTATTGGAATTTTCGCGTACGTGGCGGACACTTCGACTGAAGAATGGCGCACAGTGAAGTTCGGTATGGTCACGTGCGTGATATTCGTCGGGGGCATACTGGGCATGCTCATTTACGGGTATGCGGTGGTTTTAATGGGCTTCCAGTATGCATACTTGCTGTCCATTTCGATGGGCATTTCGACATTAATTTTAGCGTCCATGTTTATTAAAGACACGGCAGTGGAATATCACAAACAGCCGTTCATACGAGACATAATGAACACGATGAACCCAATGACTGTCTTTCGCTCGTGCTGGCAAGTGATGAGCAAAGCTCGGGACCGACATGTCACACTAGTCTTGTGGTTGACAATTTTCTTCTGCGCTCCACTTGCGACAGTGCCCCTTGAAGGTTGGTACGATTAATTAAACACCTTTTTTCTCTATCAAACGGGTATGACTTTTATTGTTGTAATTTGTCACTAACATTAACAATATACGCAGCAATACTTGTTAATGACAGTTGAATATTAATAATTTTCTTCTAATAAGTGGAAATATTTTTTGGTTAAAAAAAAACATTTAACAGCTCATCACATTTTATTTTTAAAGTATATTAGTTTTCTCAAAAGGATAATATCAAAAAAAAATTTTTTTTTCTTAACAACAAAAACTAATATTTTACCAATGTGCAATTATTTTGAATCCAGACCTGTATAATTAATGATTTTTAATAATTTGACCTAATAAAAAATTATGATAATAACAATAATTTTAAACCATGTTAGATAAGTTTTCTAACTTGTATAATCAAGTTTACATAGGAACTTGTATATGCAATTGATTACTCGCTGCATACCAATTTAATGTTCGTTTTTAATAATCAGAATAACGTTAAAAATTTTCAAAATTAATCGGTTAAAAACGTATATTAAGACTTTACTGTATTACTGAAATTTTGTAGGATATAAATTCTAATATTTTTAAACGCAACATAAAAATTACAAATTTAACTAATAACTTGTGTTTAAAAGCATAGTGCATGTAAATATGCGCAGGCTAGACAAAATAATTTATTTAATATAGTTTTGCTATACTAATGTAATATCCGTGTTTTTTTTATGTAAAACAATATGTACATATAAATATATAGTATGAAAAACTATAAGAAATTATCCATAGATTCTCATATGCGAGTATGATCACTTTTTTATACTCATTACTTTTAAACACAAGTAGTGTAATTTTGACATAAAGTATCGAATATTCGTACAAAAATATATCATTTTTACTATCAATTTATCCAAATTTTTCATTACATTTTATGCGTTAAAAACTTCCAATAAATTTATGTGAGAATTCGGACATTTTTTTTAAGAGTGTAAATTATTGAAACTTAATGTTTTTTTTTATCATGAAGTGTAGTCATGTATAGTATAGTTACAATATCATTTTTACATAAAACCTCAGATGATCAACTTAGTAAAACATAGTTTACACTACAATGTTTTATTATATACTTTAATAAAATAAAATAGTAGTTGGGATTAAGGCGAGGAAAAAGAAGAAGAATCTAATAAAATAAAACCACATGCCTATCAGTATTTTATTTACACATAGACAGACTTTTCTGAACATAAAATATTATTTAACTTATCTTATATTTTTTTCATTTTAGTTCTTTGTAAAAGTTAATGTTAATTTTCAGGTTTTTTTGGTAATAAAAACAAATAGTTGAACTTTTTATAAAAAAAATCTTGTTTCAAAAAAATATATTTTCTATCAATACACTCTTAAAAAATTCACATTCACGTATTGAAAGTTTTTAACTCATACAATTAAAGGCAAATTTTGGATAAGTAATTAGTAATAAAAATGATATTTATAATGATATATTTCAGTAATATAGCAGAACTTTATTTACTACATTTTTTATATGCGCATAATTACATGCACAATGCAATGAACTTGTGTTTTAAACACAAGTGACTAGTTAAATTTATAGCTTTTATAAAAGATATTACAAAAAACGTATAATTATCTTCATTTATCAAGACGGCTGTAGCATATTTAACAATGAGATAAACAGTCGAGTACAGTATCAAATAATACTCATCATATTAAATTTGTAATACTTAAAAAATATGAATGTCAAATAAAAGTATGTCATTTATAGTGTTTCATAATTGTTTTAATAAAATATATTCAGTTATATATAATCCATTAACATATTTGTTCGAAATACTCTTGACATTGTTTGAACTTTTCAAAGGATTTTAATTATTAATCTATTAAAAATATCAATTTGGGTTATACAAATGATGTCCTAATAATTAGGACATAATTTTTAAGTGTAAAGATTGCTATATTAGTTATTACATAGCAATCATAAAACTTATGACAAACTTTAAATTTTCTTCCACACAATTAATCAAAAACACTTACTTGAAATTTGTTTTAAATTCTTAAAAAGAAGCTACATGGAGTAGTCTACCTAATTCTTATGCAGTTTTTGTACTATAAAATAGAGAATGGACTAGTGTGTGGTAAGGGCTAAATAATTTTTAAGTTATTTTGTAAAATTCACTTTTTATAATATAAATGATTAATCATTTATGCAAGTCGAGATGTGAGTTATATTTAGTTAAACTAAGATCAAAATTAGAAATTTTGAAAAGAAGGTTATCGATCGAAAGCCAAATATTATCTTCAATTTATTCCGTTAATAAGAGCGTGAATTTAAAAAAAAATATTTTTTTTTTAGTTTATATCACTTAAAAGACATTTATCTTTCAAGTGATTGTTGTGATTCAAGTGTTTTTAAATGAAAAAATATCCTTTTTGTTAGTGATAGATTTTCAACATTTTTCAAGAGAGAGTCCTAAAAAATAAAATTTACTTTATGTTATTAATACGTATTGTCTTACCTTACATAATAAATAATGTAAAAATTTGTATTTGGGAGACCCTCAGATCCCCCTTAAATCCGCCGTTATTTGTTGTAAATAAATAACGAACTACATCAGTACTCAAGACTTTTGTTTGAGAGACTAAAAACCTATTTTTTGACTTATTACATATTCTTACTAACATCAAAGTTATACAGGGTATTCAGTAAGTAAGGAAACAGATCAACTGTTATAAACAATGAGAACAATAGAAATCTGTTTACATACTTACTGAACACTCTGTTACTATTAGTGACAATTGGACAATTGGAGGGGTCACGGTCTCTTTGGCTAAATATATTATGAGTATGAGTAAATATTGAATATTTGAAGTAATAAAAAATAGTAATAATCAAATTTTAATAAGCAGTTATTGACGCGTAGTGTATTTTTCAGATCATTTTTTACTTGTAATTATTTATTACTATCTCACAAAGTGTTGTAATTTAATTAACTGTCCTCTATGTGCTAAAAAAATTTTCATTAATTATTTTGAAAACTTAATTTTATGTTATTTAACATAAAGGTCTTGTACGAACTTATGATTAATGAAAAAATGATTTATTGCTCTTATATTTCGTTTAGGTGTAATAAGTTTTTTTTATGTTGCAGGTGAAGTATCAATTACGTACTTGTTCTTTCGAAACAAATTTCACTGGAATGAAGTCGACTTCAGTATATTTAATGCGTTTCAAATGGCTATCATTTTAGGAGGTAATGTTCAATTAAGGAAACTTTATGATTGTATTCCTCGTTTCAATTTACTATTATTTTACTTATTGATCATAGACGATGCTATCTATTGTTTGATTTTTACTTAGGGTGTTTTATCAAAAAATCCGAAACTATAATTTAATTGAATAATGCATTTATTTATAAATAATTTATATTTTATAGGTTCAATATTTTCATTGAGCATTCTTAGTCACAAACTTAAATTGAACGATGCATTAATAGGACTGATAGCGTCAGTTTTTGATCTTATGGCAAGTATAGGTTTCTTTTTAGCAAACGAACAATGGCAGGTACTTTTAGGTAATTATAAAATTCAAAGGAATTTTCAATCGTTTTATTACAAAATATATTTGTCATTAAGAATGTAATACATTATTAAATTCCACAATATTTTACATCTATACATATTATTTTATAAATTTTAAATTTTCCTCTAAAAGTCATAAATTATTTATTTTAAACAGTTCTGTTTAAATAATTATAATTCTAAAAAACCGGTACATATTTACAGGACTTGTGTCAAATGTTTGCTTAACTCGCCACGTTATGCGTTTTTACTTAAAATTATCTTTATTTACCGAGCCCCTTCATTGAATAATATCCAGACTTTAAAACATTAAAAAATAACTGAATATTTAACAATAAATGAGTTACCTAAAATTAATTAGACTTAGGTTCTTTTGCATTGAAGAAAGTATTTATTTTGGTATTAAATCAATTTTCAACCCAAGTCATTTTTTTTTTATAATCTAAAGTTTGGTTTAGGTTAGTTAGTATTCTTATATTTACCAAATATGATCTTATTTAACAAGATATTTAAAACATTTTCTTACAGTGCCACCATTAGAAATGTTTCGTGGAGCTGGATTAGCAATTACTGGATCAATAGCATCAAAATGTGTAGATTCCGATGAACTAGGTAAGTTTGTGAATGTATAGTGTCCACGAAAAAAAATTGCATAAGAACTTATTATTTCTAGTGATGACTCTGTTTTAATACTTAACATTAGTATTATTAAATGATGGAATGTAGATAATGATAGTTAACATAATGTCAAACATTGGAATTTTTAAATTAAAAATATGTATAGTAATAAAATAATATATTTTTTTTAGGTTCGATGAATTCGATTAAGTTGTTAGTAGAAAGTTCAGTGAAAGGAGCTTTTTTGCCTATTTATAACACTGTTTATAATAAAACGTTAGAAACAATGCCTAGTGCATTCTTTCTCATAAGTTCACTGTTGACATTTCCTTTGGTGTTTTTGTTTAGGTAAGAATTGATTTTAATATTTTATTAAAACAAATTGTAAACTATAGATTTAATTATAGCATTCATATTATTCAACGTAAAAATAACTTAAAAAATGATAAAAGATCGAAGTATAGGTTTGAATTTTTGTACACGGTCATTTCCTATTATTTAGTACTACTAGGAAATTATATTTTTCAGTGCTGTGTACTTGTTAACTCGTACTCCTAACTATTCTGCTAGCAGAGAAGAACTTACCAAAACTAATTATCCAAGAACAAATTATATATTGGACGTTAAACCGATCAATGACGGAGATATAGTCGACAAAAAATACTAAAAACATTAATTTATTTTGAAGTTTGTCTAAAAATGTGCGATCATATTGCAAATATCGAAACGACATACTTATTTTGACTATGTATTGTATACTATGTCTTTACTCTTGATGAGATCGAAATTGTCAAGAAGCACATTATATGTTGACTTAAAAATCATTCAAATAGTTTTTTTAATCACAGTAATATTGAAAGTAAAATAGAAAACTTTAAAGTTACCAGTTTAAAAATTAATTATTGGTCTCATTTTATTTCAAGTATACTACTATTTTAATTTTTATTATAATTAAAGTAAATGTCTAATTATTCGCTGAAATGTATAAATAATTTACTATGTAAAGATGTGTAATTTTACCAATACTAGATGTATGTAATTCTCGTTATTTTTATTTTTGCTACCTTTTGGCAAATATTCGTTAGTTGATAACTTTTGTAAATAACAATTTATTTATTGACTATGACATTAACATTAAATTTCATACGTTTTTATGTTTGTAGTACTATTACACAGTAATTAACAGTGTTTGAAAATATAATATAGTTTAATTTGTTGTTTAATAAAAATTATTAATTTATTTTGAATTAATAAATGATCAGTTTTACATCGTTCTATCTCCCGAACTTGGCATGTTACAGAGCCCAATCTCTGTAACATGTTAGGATATCAAAATGATTCTTGGTTAAGCCAATAATGGACGGACCTGGTATTATGACCGGCTTGCACAAGACAATAGCAATGAGAAAATTACAAGAAAAATCTCGTTGACACCCTGGGGATCGAACCCGACTGGGTGGGGTTTTCCAACGCCATGCCAACCACTATTTATTTATTTTTAATTTTATACTTAAAATTTCCATCATTTTATTAGGAAATTAGAAGTGATTCAAAAGTACAGCCCCTTTAAATTGTTCATATGTAAAACATTTTGAAGTTATATAAACTGCTAAATATTTAGTATACAGATGTTCCAAAGATATAAACCACAATTTGTTACACAGTTGTTACAAACATAAGTAACATATATTCCTAAGATACCAAGGTATGCAACTAATAATATACGTATACAAGGTGTAACAAAAGTAAATAACATAAATAGCTAATATACAGGGTGATACAAAGATATGCAACTGATGATTTCAGTATACAGGGTGTAACAAAAGTGTATAACAAAAGTAAATAACATAAATAGCTNTTACGTATACAAGGTGTAACAAAAGTAAATAACATAAATAGCTAATATACAGGGTGATACAAAGATATGCAACTGACGATTTCAGTATACAGGGTGTAACAAAAGTGTATAACAAAAGTAAATAACATAAATAGCTAATATACAGGGTGATGCAGAGATAAGCAACTGATGTTTTGTATACAAGGTGTAACAAAAGTATATAACATAAGTAAATAACACAAATAGCTAATATACAGGGTGATACAAAGATATGCAACTGATGATTTCAGTATACAGGGTGTAACAAAAGTGTATAATATAAATATCTAATATACAGGGTGATACAAAGATATGCAACTGATGTTTTGTATACAGAGTGTAACAAAAGTGTATAATATAAATATCTAATATACAGGGTGATACAAAGATATGCAACTGATGATTTCAGTATACAGAGTGTAACAAAAGTGTATAACATAAGTAAATAACATAAATAGCTAATATACAGAGTGATACAAAGATATGCAACTGATGTTTTGTATACAAGGTGTAACAAAAGTGTATAACATAAGTAAATAACACAAATAGCTAATATACAGAGTGATACAAAGATATGCAACTGATGATTTCAGTATACAGGGTGTAACAAAAGTGTATAACAAAAGTAAATAACATAAATAGCTAATATACAGAGTGATGCAGAGATAAGCAACTGATGTTTTGTATACAAGTTGGAACAAAAGTGTATAATATAAATATCTAATATACAGGGTGATACAAAGATATGCAACTGATGTTTTGTATACAAGGTGTAACAAAAGTGTATAACATAAGTAAATAACATAAATAGCTAATATACAGGGTGATGCAGAGATAAGCAACTGATGTTTAGTATAAAAGGTGTAACAAAAGTATGTAACGTATAGTCTAATGTATAGGTGATCCAAATTTATTTATACATAATTCTACTTTACCAAATATAACAAAAGTATATAACAAAAAATTTTGAATATAATGTTAAAAAGTTTATTGCGAATATTATATTTCATTGAAAAAGTCTTTTATCCAAAATTTTAATTTTGCAACATATTTTTATGTATGAAAACATATAATAATAATAGCTGGATACTACGTTAATGCAGGATTATTGCGATGATGTTTTAATTTATATTAGATGATGAAACATCATGTGTTTTTCTGCTCAATAAGTCTATAACGGAGTCTTGTTAAATCAATTTTATGAAACCCTAATTACATATCAAAAACAAACATTTTTATTGCAAAATACCTTTTGATTGCATGATACTTCTTATATTAAAATTTACTGCTACCGATGGACTTACTACGATTTTCATGATTAATAAATTAGTTAAATTCTTGTAAAGTAAGTAAACATGTAGCTTTTTTTGAGTGGTGGAATTTTAAACTTTTAAATGTTTCTATTCAAAAATAGTCATATGTTTTTTTTTGTGTAGAAAAATAGTGTGTTCATAGCTATTATGATTGTGTATGTTGATCCATACATTTTTTAATAAGTTACAGCATTATAAAGTTTAAAATGTAAAAAATAAAATCGAGAATTTTCACACAAAAATAGCATTTGGTAGCCGTGAAGACAAAATGAAGTCCGACATTTTTTTTTTTAATAATAAAGTACATTACATTATCTTTAATTTAAGATATATATAAAAGTGTCAGACTTTCCTGAACACTTTCAAAAGTTATGTGTAAAAGTAAATTTGTTGTGAAAAAGTTGTCATTTTAAATCCCCTCAGAGGTTAGATAAAGGGTCAGATTTATAAAAAGAATATACCAAATGATAGGTAAAAACATCAAGCATCTATAAAAAAAATTATATTGATTTGTTCATTTTTGAAAAAGTAATGGCAGTTTTAAGATAAAAAAATTGAAAAAATTTCGAAAATTTCGAAAATTAGCGATTTTTAAATTTGTAATTTTTTTGGAGGTTTCCTTCATTTACGGGGAACTAAGGAAATTTTTTCAATTTTTGAGGGTAATGTCTTCAATTGAATACGATTTGTGATCTTTTGACGTATCGTTGAAAGAAATCCGTTCGGTGAGAGCTGAGAAAAAGTAGTAACAGACAAAAAAAAACACATCATAGTAAAACCAATACCTTTTCAGCTTCGCATCGAAGCTAAGAAGGGAATTACTCCATTAATTTAGAATACATCATACTGGCTACACTGTAAATCGAATCGTGCATGTGAAAAAACGGCGGGAATTTAGACTTATCACATTTGTTTATATTACATTACAAAATTTTTTTTTGCATAACATATAGCTAATGGAACGGAATAAGTGAACCAGCCGAAGTTGTTTTACGTGTCAAAGCCAATCTTCAATTTTCGATGAAGTCATCGATGTGATTATTTTCCATATCACATTTTCACTAATTTCAATTTTGACACGACTTGGACATAAACCACCCTAGTGTCTATCTTTTTGAAATTCTACTTCAGTGGACAACGTCCTTAGATTTACCTTCTTTTAACATGCAGGTATTCTTACATTATTTAATAAAAAGTATTATTATAGTTGCAAATCTAATAACTCGATTGTCTATGAGTTCTATTAGAAAATAAATTAACAAACTTCTTATTTATTACGATTATAAATCTATAGAAAACATTTTTTTACAGAGCACTATAAAAAATAGATTATTTGTAAAAGAGAGCCCATCTCGAAATGAGAGTGTTAGTACTAAATATGATAAATTAGAGCAGATTGGGGAAGGTACATATGGAGTTGTTTACAAAGCATTAGATAGAGAGACAGGGAAATATGTTGCTCTTAAGAAAGTTAGAATGGAATCGTAAGTTTAAGAGTATTTCCTTATTGTTTCAAATATTACAAAAAATAACTTTTATTTTTCAAAATAGAAAAGTTCCTTAAAAATAATTGTAAAATGCATACTTCAAATATTAGTTCTAATTGTACTTTTTGTAGGAGTACAGAAGGTGTTCCTTCTACAGCAATGAGAGAAATTTCATTATTAAAAGAAATGACACATGCTAATGTTGTTAAACTTCATGATGTTATTTTATCAGATAAAAAACTATTTTTAGTTTTTGAATACATGGATTATGATCTTAAAAAAGTTTTGGAGTTACGTAAAAAAGAGTATGGATTTGGTTTGCCCGAAACTCAAATTAAAGTAAATTTTATTTATTTTTATGTTTATCCATATATTTTTAATTAACAGTAAAACATAAAGTTATTAAAATTATGAAGTCTAACTATAAATAAAATTTTTTATTTTAGAGTTACTTGTATCAAATGTTAAGTGCATTATCATATTGTCATATTCACCGCATTGTTCATCGAGATTTAAAACCACAAAATCTCTTAGTAAATAAAAATGGAGATATAAAATTAGCAGATTTTGGATTAGCAAGAGCGTTTTCATTTCCATTAAGAAATTATACACATGAAGTTATTACTTTATGGTATAGGGCGCCAGAAATATTGTTAGGAGCCAAAATTTATACTATGGCTGTTGATCTTTGGAGTCTTGGTTGCATTTTCACTGAAATGGTATGATGAATTAAAACCCTAATTTTATTAATTATTCTTCTTTTTATATTAGTATTAGTAAAAAATGATTGGAGTTGACCATTTATCTGTATTGTACAAACACATAATAGTTATATTTATTGTTTGAGAATTTTTTTAATTGTGAAGTAATATCTCGCTTTGTTTCAAAAAATAATACGAGAAAAATTTCCTGACGTGTTATGAAATGTAATATAAAAATTTAATTAATTTTATTGTGATTGGGAAAAGTCATGATATATTTAATGTTATAAACAAATATCAATTAACAAAATACATTAAAAATTAAAAAAAAATTTTTTATTATACTGCACTGTTGGGGTTTTAATCATTGGTTAATTACAATATTCACTATTCAATTGAATCCTATATTAAATTTATTATATATAATCAGTTACTTTTTCTAAATAAACTCTTTGTGTTGGTGTCATCTTTCATAAAAAAATGTTTATTAAATGGAAACTATGAATAGAATGAATGTAATCATTTTTATTTGTATAAACAATTAATATTTAAATACATTTTCCATTTAATAAAATTTTAACATTTTGAATAAAAAAAATGTATTATTTAATATGAAAAGTGATAAAAGTGTTATATTTTTCAGTCAATATATTTCTATTATTTTATTTATAGTTTACTTTAAAGCCATTGTTTCCGGGTGATTCAGAGATAGATCAACTATTCAGAATTTTTCGTACTTTGGGTACTCCAACTGATGAGACTTGGCCAGGTGTACAAAAATTACAAGATTTTAAACCCATGTTTCCCCTTTGGGAAGCACGTGATATAACGGATTTCCTACCAGAGCTTGCAGACAAAAAACAACAAAATGTCTTTTATGTAAGGATATTAAATAAATTTTTTATATTAAAATGTTCTAAAAAAATGAAATAATAACTTTTTACAAAATTAAACTGTGTATAAAATATAGTTAAAAATTACATTATATTTTAAAACATTTAATAAAAACAATAAATTTTTATTTGCTTTTTTAGGCATTATGCACTTACAATCCAGCAAATAGAATGTCAGCTGAAAAAATTATGGAAATGGAATATTTTGACAACCTAAGACAAACATCTCTTCCAGAAACACCCTAAGAAATTCATCATAATTTTAATATTTTTTTAACAGTGAGTTATGAATATTTGGTTTATATTGGAACGTTCATAAAAATCAAGTTATGTCAAGACTAGTTAAAATATTGAATTTTTAAAATTGTAAATAATTAATAGTTACTATTGACCAAATGTTTAAAGGTATTGTGTTGACTTAAGTTTTGACTAAAAAATGTATATAAAAAATTAATCCACATTTATTCAAAGCTTAAACATATATATTAACGTGTTCATCAATTATTTTCTTTAAATTATTATTTTTACTTAAATTTGTTCTATTACAATTTGTATTGATTTTTTCTCTCTTTTTTTTTTTTTTTGTATTATTTTTGTTAAGAGTATTAAAATACATTCCACGATCAATTATGGTTTTTTCATTTCTATAGGGGTGGTGAATTTTTTTCAACAAATCAACCATCTATTTAAATACAGATTTCATTTTCTGATGTTTTCTTATTGAAAAAATATTTGTTTAATTTTTCCTCAAATGAATAGTACCATTTAATGATTATTATTTTAGTTATTTTTTAAAATTATTAACAGTTGTATTTTTCATCTTCATGTAAAAATATTTCATTAAATAATTAATTAGTTTTATTTCTCATTTAAATTTTATTCATTTATAAGTCTGATGCTTTTTGTCTAAAAAAAATTGTTTGTACAACCATTAAATCATAAGGTTATCGTGCATTATTTGCTGAAACTACTTCCTCAGGTATAACTATATTATTATTTGAAGATTGAAATCCTTGACTAGCTGATCGTTTTAAAATTTCTTTTGGAGCATTTACAGTTTTGAAATTCTTATTTTCTTCATTTGTTGGTGTTACAACAATCCTCACATGACTTTTCGGTCGGTCTTCTGACCTGTAAACTCTCATGCTAGAACTTCTCCGTAACTATGAATATTTGATAGTATAAATGAATGATTAAAACTTATTATAAAATTATATTTCAAAACTAGCTAAATTATATAAAAAATTTACTTTTATATTATATTATTAAGTAGATAAATACATATACTGGCAAGTGTTTACAGTTGTGCAAATATATGAATTATTACATATAAATCAGCATATCAGCTTTGATAACACCACAAAAATATGTTAACACTACTTAGTATCTAGTTATATAAGTTTCAATTTCAAATGTATTTATGTATATAAACTTCTAAGTTATAAGTAGTGACATATTTGAAGTGATAGATGATTGATGATGATATGAGCACATTATATTTCTTGCTCATTCAAATTACCAGCTTGTGATGATCTTGAGCTCTGTAAATAATCAGCAAAGCAGTGCATTTATACAACTAATGTAGTGAATAAACTATAATTTTATACAAATTTACAATATATATATATTATTGATTTAACCATTGTGCTGGAATAACAAATAGACTAAAGTAAAAGCACAAAATGTCATTAATCTCAAACATTCAAGTTAATCCCTCCGAATGGTTTAGTATGAATGTATTTTTTTTGAAAATAGTGAGCATCATTAAAAAATTAACTAAGAGTATAACAGAATGTTAAAACCAGCCGAATCACTCTCATGTCACATCTAATATTATAAAATTATAAACTACTATTGCCGATTAGTCAATCCGTCACTTGGGCAGGTTTATTTATGTACAAAAAATCACATGTTAAAGCTTAAATTAATGATGATGATTATTTAAAAAATGTTTATAAAATTATTTCATTATTACCTGAGATTTTGTTGGTGTTCCGGTAGCCGCTTGTTTTATGTAACTTTTGTCGTCAAATATTTTGATTTCGCCTCCACCCGGTTTGTGCTTGACATTTTCTAATGAACCAACTTTACTTTGAGCTTTTATTTCAATTTTTTGATCTTCAATCTATTATACAAGAATATTTTTAATATTACTATGTTAATTCATTATTATTTTATGTTATTATTAAGTTTTACAATAAAAATTTACATATTAAAAAAATGTTTTATTTATTTATTACGCATTTTGATACCATACTTTCATTAATACTGTATAATATTAATGATATTTAAGGAATATTGCTTAAATAACATTACACATTAAATTTAAATAGTACTTTGTTATTAATTATATGGAGAGTTGTTTATAATGAGAGAGGATGGGAGCTGTAAGAAAAGTTATGGAAGTCAATGTTAAAGGAAGAAGAGGTAGAGGAAGACAAAAAAGAGATGGAGGGATGTGATTGAATACGATATGAGGACGGCTGATGTGAGCGTAGATGATGTGGGAAATTGAGGAAAAACAAGAAAAAGATTCACGAAAAACATAAGCTTCAAAGTCATATTTAAAAACAGTAAAATAACATAATTTTTCTATCATATATAATGATAGTAAATAATATTTGACATAAAAACAGCAGTCAAGATAGAAAATGGTCTTTTTTAAAAAAAGCAATTAAAAAACTTTAAATAGCTAATTCATATTTTTTGTTACTAACCCGTTAGAAAATATTCACGTTGTCAGAATACGTTTTTCTTTAATTTCAAAGAGAACAAACAAAATATTTCAATGAAAAACAATTATAGGCGTAATCAAATTTTTTTGAGGAGACTTAGTTTAATTTTCTCCCTCCAAAAAATAATTTTTTTAAATTTCTGGGAAGGCTAAATTGTAAACTGGAACAACTAAGCTCTCCTAGCCCTTCACTTTACGCAATAGTCAGAGTGAAGTGGGTTTTTTGAGTAAAATATTTTGACCATTTGAAGATAGGAATAACTAATACATAGGTACTCGAAATTGTGGCTTTTTGATCTCCTAATTTAGGCTTGAGTGTGTTCAAGCCCATGTTAAGACATCGGAGTCCAAAATTTAGGTAAGGCTTCTACATCATAAGTGTTGTTTAAGTTTTGTATTTTAAATTATGCTATAACCGAATACATTAATTTTTATCTGAATGAAAAATATTCAGTATTTAAAAAAAATTAACAATGTGATGCATGTGTATATAAACAAAATTCCAAACAGTGATTCATAGTTCTATACAGTGGTTCATGTTCAAGTAAATTAAGATACAGAGTCGTCCCGAAAAAAGATGTTATCGCTGTTCTATACCTTTAAGGTCTATTTTGCTTTTTCGATAAGTAATATTATTATATTTGATAACTATGAGGAAAAAAGGTATTTTCGGGATGACCCTGAAATTGCTAAGTATTAAATAAACAGTGTAACTACTTCAACAACTTTTGCACAATTTCATGGAAAGTTTCAATGGTAAAATAGTTTGGATTATAAACCAAATACTATAACTTGAATGTTTTTTTTTTAAACTGTACTGTTCTATTAAAAAAACATCCATTTTACTCACGTCACTAGATTCCTTTTCAGTTAAATTTGTTGAATGTTTCTAAAATGTTACCATTGTAAAAAAAAAATCAAATATTTATGATTTAAAAAANTAAAATGTTACCATTGTAAAAAAAAAATCAAATATTTATGATTTAAAAAACAAAATTTTATATTATTTAAATAATATATAGATATAATGATTTATCCAAAAAAAAGATGGAAATGAAAAAATTAGATATTAAGATTAACTTAATACTATTAAAGTCTAGAAAGAGTAATCCTAGAGAATAACCTTAGATAACATCGTATCTTTTAAAATTATGAACACACCATTGTTTTAGGTTATCTAAAGACATCCTAAAACTAAATGTTATGTAGAAATAAAAACAGAACCAAACGAAACTATTTGTAAGCCCTATATAGTGCTAACAAATATTTTTTTTATTTCTATAGATAATGCAGATAATTAAAAAACTTGTATTATCCTTTTTTCAAATTCCCCCTTCAAAATTCAGATATTAAACAATTTTTCTGACAATATTACTTTAATTTGGATTATGGCCAAAAAAGTATTCAAATACAATTTCGTAGACCTGAAATACTAGCAGATGCGTATCTAAAACTTTTCCATGTGGAGTATAAAAAAATAATTTTTTGTCCATTAGGTAACTTAATTGACTTTTTTGGCCTGATAAACCCTGAAATATGTTTTTAAATATTTTTGAAAAAATGTAATGTATGCTGTACTACATAAACTATTTATGAATTTAAATAAATATCATAAAATAAATTAAACATATTTATAAAAAGTTTATTTACAAAAAATCTAGTCATGAAATAAAATAAAATGAATATTACCTTTACAGAGCCTCCTCCAGGCGTGTGTTTGATGTTGTCTTTGGACCCAATTTTTGGTTTTGCTTTATCTTTAAAATCTAACTTCACTGTTTCAATTTTTTTGTCTCCTCCGCCAGGTTTATGAGTCTTGTTTTCAAGTGATCCAACTTTTGGTTTAGCATTCCATTGTAACTTAACACTTTGAATCTAGAAATTAATTTATTGTAAAGTAAAGAAAATTTAAATATAAAAAAATTATTTTAATTTATGTTTTAGAGAATTAGATTTTGAATATGAAATTTATGAACAAAATATGATTTAATTAAAATCAAGTAGAAATTATAGTTTGTTTTATGGTATAAACATTGAAATATGTATTGAAAAAAGGACAGAATAAAACGCATTTCGTGACAATAATTAGATATCAATGGGTATGTAACTATTTTTCGTGAAAATTATTTTCGTTTGAATGAGCTCCTGTAATTGATCTCAAAAATACAAACAGTATTGTTATTTAAATCAGTAACAAAGAGTAGATATTTTTGGTATTTGAATCTCTTTAATACGATAAAATAAACACTTGAAAATTTAGATTTTCACTACTTTAGAGTGCTACAGAAAATTATTATACATTAATGATATCTTTTTACACCAACATTTTTCTTAAAATCTTATGTAAAAACGGTAGCACAGTTGGGTCGAGGCACAGTGTGGACCAGGCATAGATGGGACAAGTATAGATGATATCTGACAGTGATTAAAATAACTATCATAAGAAACGCTTCGATGCAAATCTGTAGATAGTATTTCATTTAGGGAAATTGGTGGATTATTCCAAAAGCAACATCAACTCTTATTTCTTTAATTATATCCTGATCAGACACGTAGACATGGGTGGGCCGGCCCCCCTTAGATTTAATGTGGCCCAGGGCCGGCCCCCCCCAAATTTAAAATTCAATTATTTTTACGAAGTATCAAAAACGTGCTAGTCCTTATATACATTGAAATTGTTATTAATTTGTGATTACTATTGAGTAATACAGTTATTATTATGGCTGTATTTTCATTTTTATATTCATAGAAAACGTTATTTGAAAAAGATAACGTTCTAGACGTAATAATAAATGGAATAGCAGTTTCTCCAAACGTGGTTGTAGGTAAATTTTTTTTAACTCTGGTCCAACAAATTATAACAAACTACCAAGTATCTGCATTGATTAAAATCTAGTTGATTACAAAATTCGATAGAGTATACTCTATGAAAATTTTTTTGATAAATCTTATCTTTAATTTGTTTTATTTTTTATAATTTTGTAGGTACAATAGGTAATTTATTTGTTTTTGTTAATTTGCTNTTTGTAGGTACAATAGGTAATTTATTTGTTTTTGTTAATTTGCTATTTGCGTGCTCTAAATAATAGTAATAAAAATATGACTAAAAAAAGGCAGGAATTGTTTTTAATTTTAAATAAAATAAATTTTATTGTTTATAATTTATATTTATTTTAAAAATTTTTATAACTTTTTTGTTATTAGTATTTAGGTATAAATTATTTTTTCTTAATAGCTTAAAAGTTGAAAAATTAAATCAGCTTATATTCACATCATTATTTTATTAGCTTCGATGCAAAGCTGAGGAGGTATTGGTTTTACTATGATGTGTTTTTTTTTGTGTCTGTCACCACTTTTTCTCAGTCTCACCGAACCGATTTCTTTCAATGATACGTCAAAAGATCACAAATCGTATCCAGTCGAAGACATTACCCTCAAAAATTGAAAAAATTTTCCTCGTTCCCCGTCAATGGGGGAAACCCCCCAAAAAATTACAAATTTAAAAATTGATAATTTTCGAAATTTTTAAAATTTTTTTTACTTAAAATTGCCATAACTTTTTTATATAGATGCATGATATCGTTACTTTTCATTTGATATATTTTTTTTATAAATCTGACCCTTTACCTGCCCACGGGGGGGATTTAAAATGACAACTTTTTCACAAAAAATTAACTTTTTTCACTTAAATTTTTAAAATGTTCCGGAAAGTCTGACACTTTTATCTATATCGTAAATTAAAGCTAATGTAATGTACTTTTTTATTTAAAAGAATTTCGGACTTTATTTTGTTTTCACAGTGAAAATGGCTAACAAATGATATTTTTTTGAAAAAATTCTTGATTTTGTATTTTACATTTTTAACTTTATTATGCTAGAACTTTTTGAAAAATGTATGCATTTTTTAAAAAGTTATAGCATCATAATGTTAAAAAATGTAAAATATAATATCAAGAGTTTTTTCAAAAAAATAGCATATTTTTGCATACGGTAGTCATTTTCACCATAAAGACAAGTCCAGAGGTCAAATTTTTTTTTTTCAAATTAAAGTATATTACATTAGCTTTAATTTAAGATATATATAAAAGTGTCAGTCTTTCCGGAACATTTTCAAAAGTTAATTTTTTGTAAAAAAGTTACCATTTTGAATCCCCTCCTGTGGGTTGTTAAAGGGTCAAATATTCACAAAAATATATAAAATGATAAGTAAATATCTAAGGTATCTATAAAAAAAAAAATTATATTGATTCGGTCATTTTTAAAAAAGTTATGGCAATTTTAAGTAAAAAAAAATGAAAAAATATCGAAAATTAGCGATTTTTAAATTTGTAATTTTTTGGGGGATTTCCCCCGTTTACGGGGAACGAGGGAATTTTTTTCAATTTTTGAGGGTAATGTCTTCAACTAGATACAATTTGTGATCTTTTGACATATTTTTCATCAAAATCGGTTCAGTGAGAGCTGAGATTGAGCGTATACAGACACAAAAAAAAAAACATATTATAGTAAAATTAATACCTTCTCAGCTTCGCATCGAAGCTAAAAATAAGTACTTTGATTTTTTTTTTACTATTTATATTAAGTTATTAAATTTGTCCAAACATCAAAGACATATCTGTAATTATAAAATATTAAGTTATTGGGTCATTCTGTAGGAATTATATTAAGAATTTTAAATTAAAACAAAATGGATATGTATTATTTATAAGTAATTGATGCTTTATAAAATAAACTCGACTTTACTTTAATATATAAAAATAACACTTTTATAAGTATTCTATACTTTTAGCAATACTGCACAGTAATAAAAATATATTACTTTCTTATCTCCTCCACCAGGAACGTAAGCGTCATTTTTTGCTTGAATTCTTGTTCCAGCTTTCCATTCAAGTTTTCTGCTTTCGATTTTTACTTGTCCTCCACCAGGTTTGTAGCTAGTGTTTTGAAGCGAACCAATTTTTGACTGTACCACCTTAAGATTAGGAGACGGGGCAGATCCAACTTGAATTTTATTCATAGACAACTCTTAATAATTAATAAAATTATCAATTTAATATTTAAGTTATAGTAATTATTTGTAATTAAAATAGAATGATAAATGTTGAAAAAAAAACACTATAATAGCGTTTCTTTTTAACTATGATTAAAAAAATTAAATATTTTACTATGATTTGTAAAATCAATTAATATTCATTAAGAAAATTCAAAGGTTTGAAATGACAAATTCACTTATTCAACTATAATAAAATAATAATTTGCATACTTTTTTGACCAATTGACGTAACACTGTCTGGAGTTTTTGGAGTAATTGCTCTGGTGGGTGTCTTCAGTTCAGACTTTTCTTTTTTCGGAATTTTACTGGGTGATTTACAGGCATCCCCATCAGTTCTCTAATAAAAAAAATACACATTATAGACTAATAATGTATAATACATTTTTTTTTTTGTAATTTAATTCAATTTTATTTTCTTATTTAAAATTATGTTTAAATACTTACTTTGGAGTTTGATGAATCTTTAAGGGGTTCATGATCTGTAAAAAATAAAACATAAATTAATACATTAATATAATTAATGTTGTTGATTGGCTATTGTGTTGTGTGTGAAAGGTTTGTTGTAATTGGTATATTTAAAATTTAATTGTAAAAATTATCAAAACCCCGGTAAAAATGTGCAAATTTCAATTGCTTGAATAGCAATATATTATGTTTCACATGTGATCAATTTCTACCATTTAGTTAATATGCCTATAAGTTCTACCTTGCATCTAATCTGGATTTTAGTGCTTAGAGACACAAAAGTACCTTTAATTATTTTTAAAGTATCTGGTCGTAGATTTTTACTCATATGATCTTCTAGTTTATCTTTATCTTTCACTTGATTTTTGGACTGACTATCACTAGTCGGTTCCTTATATTTCATATAGTTTTGATCATTTATTCTTCCACTCTCAATTACTCTATTATATTGTTTTCGTTCATCCAATCTTTGTTCACCGATTCCTCGACTATCAATTGTCGATTTTCTATCATCAAATTTATTACGCTCGTCTGATCTTTCAGTTGTCAATAAAGGCCTACTTATACTCGAAGCATATTTATCATCCAATTTATCAATTTCTTTAACTGTTTTTAAATATGTTGCTTCGAAATTTGATTTTCTTAAATCTTTACTTATGACATCTCTATTTGGATTATAAGACTCAATCGGCCTTTCTAAAGAAAATTTACGTTCAGGTGCATACGACTTTAAATCTAAATTTCTGGACAATCTGTCTTGTGGAGATGATCCAATACTGTCAACTCTCGAAAGTATTGGTTCAGGTCTCCTAAAATCTGTTCTTTTATTGTCTAAATCTTGTTCTGACGGTCTTCTGTAATCAGAAAGTTTACTGTCATCTAAATCGGGTCTTCTATATTCTGATCTTTTTATATCTAAATCTTGCACTGACGGTCTCCGATAACCCGAACGTTTATTTTCTTCTACTTCAGGCCTTCTATAATCAGACCGTCTAAGTTCTTCTGGTTCTGACGGTTTTCTATAATAATCAGTTCGTTTTACTATGTCTGTTTTGGATTCTGTAAACTTATCGCTCTCAACTGAATCGTTTCTACGCATTATATCAACTCTGGGTTGCTCCAATACGCTATCTCTCCTCCGATAGTCTCTTTGGGGACCATTTTGTAAATTTGGACGATGATCATCTTGTCTGTTATAGTTAACAGACTGAAAATTTTGTGGTTCAGGCCTTTCATTGTAGCGCTCTTGGACATCAATTATAGCTTGTCTATTTGATTGTTCTTGAGGTGGCTTAAAAAAAGGTGGTTCCTGGACTGGTTTTTGCCACTGTCTCGTAGATTGGTCAACTTCTGCTTGAACCAACAATTTTGCCGAAGAATCACGGCGATTTAATATAGGCACGGGCCCCGGTGGATTACTGGTAGTTATCACATGATCATTATCGTCGTCAACAACTTTCTGTTTATCATTTTCAGGTAGTCTGTGTGGAGGTTTATCATCTATTCGAGACAATGTTGGACGACGGTCTATTGGTGGTGGCGGTGGAGGTTGTTTATATTGTTCCTGAGTATGTGGCGGTAGAGATTTTTGTTGTTGTTGTTGTATATGTTGTTGTTGCTGCTGCTGTTGTATTTGTTGTTGTTGCTGCTGTTGCTGTAGTTGTTGTTGTGGCTGCATATTATAAAATGGTGGTCGTTGCTGAGGTAGAAGTGGACCACCACGAGAACCGTCCGATGGTAATACTTGTCTTACAGCGTTCCACCGATTTATTGGTCTAATATCACCAGGGGGTCTTTGTGGTCCAGAAGGAGGTCGTTGAGAGTTAGGTGGAGTGAACCGATTTTGAGCCAAAGGTGGTGGAAATGGTTGTGCAGGATAAGGACCTTGTTTCTGCGGTGGATAATACTCTGGACGAGTTCTTGGATTAAAATCTGGCGGACGTTGCTGTGATTGGTTAGGGGGTAATGTGGTTGTCTAAAGAAAACATATTCTCATTATAAAAAGTGCGACAGTCACGAAGACATTTTGATAGTGCGTTTATACGAAAGAAAAATGCAGAAGTATTAAAATTATTTAATGATTTGACTTGATATTTACGAAAACGTCTTACCATATTTAATTGCATTCTTGTTGTAAAACTACCACCCGGCTCTACAATACTATTTCGACGGTTATTATCCATAATAGTAAGAGTATGATTTGACGTTTAATTATATTTAATTATTTAAATAATTTATATATTAGTTATTATTAATGCGTGTAAGTATATAAATTTTATTTATAAGACAGTATTTAAAACGTTAGTTATTATTATTTATTTATTCTGATCCTTGGATTCATACCTATAATTATAACAATATACAAAATAACATCGAATAACATATAACTTCAATATGCGATAAACCATTCTAAACACATTACATCAAATTATTGTTATTAACATTCATGTTGAAGTCATGATTTTCAGTGGCCATTTTTTTTACTATTGCCTTGGTGTAACACTCATGAATTAAAGACTAGTATAAGGCTAACTTTTTTACAAGTATTAAGCTCCGATACACAATTTAATATTAATATAAAAATGAAATAAGGCCAAATCGATAATAGCAGTATGTTGTTTATATTTAATAGAAGTATTCGTTAGTAATAGGGCGGGTAAATGGGTAGCTACATCGACGGAAACATTTTACCGAACCTATTTTATGACAATCATCGATTTCCGGAATAATAAACTACATTACTTGGCATCACAATGAGGTGAAGAGGAGTGGAGTTGTAAAATGACTTGAAGAATTAATTTGTATCAAGTGTCTGTAAACCTTTTATTTAGTTAAACATTTCAATAAATTTTAAACTTAAAATTCATAATAAATCATTTATAAAATATTATTAGACGTCATAATAACAAGATATTGATAAAACTGTCAAAGTTGTGTAAACTTATGAGAATTTTTAGCAAGAAAAATAGAATAAATAATTTTCGTATATAGAAAAATAAAATTATTTAGCTAATATTTTTACGAGTATCTAAAATTATACATTTTTATTTTCATAATCTAAACGATTTCAAAATTTAATAGCATTTATGAAAATCACAATTGTTCAAACTTATAAGAATCAGCTTTCTGGAAAAATTGATGGCTATATCATCGCTCGTACGTCCTTGTTGGCGTATTACTGTCGTATACAATTATTCAGATGATTGATTAACAATAAAAATAAATACATTCATATGTGCATACCTTTCCAGTATAAATCTGTAGTTCCTTACGAAGATCACAGTCAGTATATGTCAAACAGCCGTAAATCCTCGTGCTTTACTGAGCCAACTACTATTTCTGTCGTACTACTGCCTAATACTACTACACTACTACGCTGCTAATATGAGACGGCGTGATCAGAATTTGCGTGCTTATACACGCGCTAATAAAACACTATTTTGTGTAGACATGACACGAACTATCGTTCACACAGGTGGGAGGAGGTAAGTTTCCAATGGTTATAAGGGGTGGAAAATGGTGACGCGGTCATGGGAAATATTATTCCACTCTATCGCTATTTTTTCGTCAATAATAACTGTACGGCATCGAACACAGTAACTAATCTCAACGTTTTCTAAACATATTAGATTAATGCTGATTTTTGACAGTTGAATTTGAAAAACGTGAAACAAAAAACAAATGAGCTTCACTTAAAAATTGTTGTTAATAGGCTAATGAAGAGACTTAATATAGCGTTTTATAGTAAATCCTTCAAATCTCTATTTTTGTAATTATAAGTACAAGAATAAAATCAGTACACATTTTCACTAAAACGAGTGGATATGAAGAGGTTAAATATTTGTAATGTATAGATAATTCCAAGTTTCTTTTTTCAAAATTTGTGGAAAAATTAAATTATTTGATAAAAAAAAAAAAAAAAATAATGATGAACAATTGAAAGTTGATCTCAAGGATAGTTTTATTCTTAAGTAAATTGACACTTTTATAAAGAAAAAGGTACATTTTTAATAGAGTGAATTAAGTCATTGTTATATTCAATATTTCTTGTGTACTATTCGTTAGTGTGATTTTGTTAATATAACACAAAAACGACTATTGGTAATTTTTAGTTTCTAATATATTTTATTGATTATTTTACTTAGTTATGAGCACACCGACAAAAAATTCGTGACTAAGAAATATAAATGTACAACTAAATACATGATTAGTTAAACCATCTTAAATACCGTGTCCCTAAATTGAGTATAATTATGGTTAACTCCATCTGTTATTTTGTCATGTATTCTTTAAAATAATTATTTAAAATAAACTGTTTTTATTTCTCTGTTATTATTGCAGAAGATTCGCTTAAGTAAATGAAAACCAAATAATAAACAGTGAAAACATTTTGAACGCTGCTAAAATTCTTTTAGGCTGTAGCAATGTAAGTAGGTTAAAACTTTAAAAACTGATACGCATTCTAGTTAAACTGTCAGACAGGATTGTATTTATATATTTTTTTAATAAAAAAAAGTATAAATATAAAGTGAAGACGCTGTCTAGGTAATAAAATATTGACATGCAATCCTGTAATAATGGCGTAATCTCCATGTTTAGCAAATATCCGCCGCTCTCCATTACCTTCGTGTACAACTATTGTTATTAGCCTTTAAAGCCAAACCAAACACACTGGGTATATTAATAATAACAACATTAAATTGAGTTTCACAACATTCATTTTAACGACATTATGCGGTGAAATGAATTTTCATTCCTTCGACTCTGTTTTCGACAAAAAATAGAAATGAAAAATATATAACAAAAAAAGTTTTCTAAACAATAACAAACAAGAGAGGTAAATAAAAAATACACGAGCGTATAAAGTTCATGTATATCTATCAAATAGTTTGTTTTTTCATAATTTATTAGTACTCATTTAAATCAATTATCAACTTACAATAAACATTGTAAACTTAAATGTTTAAGTAAAATGATTCACAGTAAACCTAAAGTATTTACTTTAAAATATACCCTTATGGTAATAATTATTATAATAAAAAATAACATAAATAATTTGTTATTTTATGGACTTTTAGTTTCTCCACATTGCCAGGTATGGTGGGCTGATATGAATCACCCCTCCGCTAATCTGAAAATTATAGGAAATTTACCTTCCTCTTAATGAATAAATCTTGAATATTGTTGTGAGGAGACCAATAGAAATTATATGCCAGGTGCCTCCCAAACATGAGCAAAGCCGACAACTCTGTGCACACGAAATGAATGCACATTATAATGATTCGTATTACATGATCAGTCATACACGTTTTGAATTAATATTGTCAGTCTATAAAACTGCTCAACATATACGTGACAATATGAAGTGTGATATTATAGCACATTAAATTATTATAATTCAGATATGTCATGATTAGCTAAAGACACTTTAGTCATATGTTAATGTTAAATTGTATTTAATTTTACATGTGATATATTTAATGTGTTCGTGAAATGTGTTAGTCTTATAAAAAGACTAAAAATTTTAAGAATTGTTAAGTATAAAAATAACATATTATTTTATAATTATATTATTCTCACCATTTGACCAAGTACAAGGTCTGTTCAGGTTTCCATTTGAAGCCACTGGTGATATCACTCTCTCAAATTGTAATGTCGACACTTGTTCTTGTATATGTTGTGCATAACTCTTTTCAGGAATGGAATTCTCTAAAAAAAAAAACGAAAGGAAAATTAATTACTTCACCTTTGCATTTATGTCTTATTTTAACTGTTTGTAAGCACTTCATTATATTTTATTTTCTTAAAATAAATAACACAGTAACAGAGCTAGAAACATCTAATATAATTTATTTTCTTAATTGGGATATTGTAACTCTAATTAAATATGTTGTAACGTTATAATTGTACGATAGTCAATAAGAAACTAATGATAGATTTTTTGTATTAGAAAATACAGTATAGGTTTCTTTTTGTTTTATTATGTCTACAGTGAAATACCAGTTTTATTCTCTTTTTTTTTTTTTGCGTCGTATCTGTACGCACTCAGTAAATACAAATCCGAAAATATTTCAAATTTTATCAAATAAAATAAATTTGAATGAGACCAACTTTTGAAAAAAAAATGTTTATAGCTTTTTAAAAAAATAAATATATATTCTATTCTTCTATGTATTACAAGGTTTTATTTTTCTTTTGCAAATTTCATTAGACGTTTGTATAATAAAACTTGCAAAATAAAAATACAACACTTTTATAAGTACTTTTACAACTTCATAATTTGCCTTCAAAAAAAATTATAATAAACCAACACCGATAGGAATACACAGTATACTACGCGTTTCAGACAAATAGTTAAAAAGTTAAATACTAATTGGTTTGTGGCACGTTATTTAATGTCTAATAACCAAACAGGATACGACTAGTTAACTGGATACCAAAGTATTGTTTGTCTTTGTTTAATGCATACCGTTTTAAGTATACGTGCTACATTGCCATCAAATGAAAACACACTAGTTAAGTTCATAGCACCATACATACGGATTGTTTAACTTGTTGAAAGCTCACTTTGTTGTTATTTGAAAAAAGTGAAACTGCCATGCAATCGCAGAAAAAAATGTGACTCGACTAAAGCGATGGCACCAAACTACTAGCACTTTCAAAGAGAAGTTATTCAAACGCGTTTTTATACAAACACTTGATTCCAATAAAGTGTTTTAATATGATTACAATAAAGAAATAGTCGATTAATGAATAATAATAACAAAGTTAATTGTTTCGTATAAAAACTACATTTTTCTATTATCGAGTAATGAACATAATATTGTAATATAATGTTATAATGTAAAACAAACAGCATCTCGAAATAAAAACAAATTATGTAATAGAGAGTCTAATCATTTATTTAACTGCTATCAAAATACAAATAACAACAAGGTACATTCTTAATTTGAACTCGGAAATAAAATATCAATTTTTTTAATTGCGCGTAGAATGAATGCGTCCAAAACATGTACTTGACATTAATCATTTATTAAGTGTTTTGTTAATTAAAAGTATTTTATAAATATTACTTAAACGACAATTGGTTATTTGTTAACATATTATATTAAGATGTGTACTATTAACATAATTCGATTTGTTTATTATTTCTGCACAATAAATGATTAGGAAAAATCGTAACTATTCATGAACCTTTGCGTTCGTCATATCTCTATAGATAACTGATGAACTTTCTACACATTTGAAACAAACACAGTTAATGTTACCCACATGAATTCCAAATAAAAAATACATTTTAATCGGTGAATTTCTGAACAGCTGTTAATTAGCGTACATAAATATAGATAGATGCTTTTTCCTTGAAAGTGTTCATAAAGTCGTTTGCAAAATTGCCCGTACGTATTGCGGTAAAACTGCTTTCAACAATAACCGAAATACTATTGAAGACCTTGAAACGACACTAGAAAATTGATGAAATTTACTATACTTGTACTCGTCAAATTTTTTACACCGAGTAGTGAAAATATTTATTTAGATTCAACTCGGCCAAGTAGTTGTTTTTATGACAACACCTATGTGTACTTTAGTTATTTATAAATATAGGTCACGATAACATGACTGCGGTTGAGTTTTCAATAAAAAAAATTCGAGAATTACCATTTTTAAATTGGGGACAGTTAGAGGTATACAAAAAATGTGTTTAATTATCTTAAAATTCAATAATTTTCTAAAACAAATGACTGCATACGTTCCGACGCGTGTAATGTAATTACATGGGCACCAAGAACGTTTGAATAATAAATATGGTGGCCAAAAGAAAAACTGTCGCTTACTGAAAAGGTCAACTCTCAGGCAATCGATACTTAAAAACTAGAATAACAGGTGATCACAAACATATTATTGCGTACGACTAACAAACATTGTCTATGATTAACAAGCGACATTTGTTTTAGCACACGCGCGAACACATTGTGTTTGAATGATTTTCATAATAATGAAACTTTGTTTTTGGCAACCGCGTCATAGTGAACTTTACCTTGTTCAACGACTAGAGATTCGGCCGTTGTTTCGGCCATGACTTGCTGCCGTTTTCGTCGCTGAACTGGCCCGGCCGACGTCCGAAGGTGACAGCGAACGAAGCCACAGTCGACAATCCTTATGATGCAGCTGTGTTGTTTGCGCGGAAGGGTCGTAATGAAAAAATAAATAAAATCTTTGGCAAACGACCGAATGCGGCGACAGTAATAGAACAACACCAACTCGACGGTCGAAATTAGACTTCGATACTTGTTGTTTTTCGCAATTAATATTTTTGTTTTCGCTCGAACAGCGGTTGATCGATGCGCCGTCGCACGCAGAATCGCCTAGCCAGCCGTGTTGGTCGCAAGAGCAATGTGCGTAGTGCCGCGCACGCTCTGCCATCTCGACGCCAAACGCCTCCTATCATCCCGCTCAGCTGACCCAACCGCCTACGATCAATTTCACAACGCAGCTTCGCGACAACCATTCCTGTGTTGATGTGTTTAGGGTTGTTGTTGTTCGTCTTTATTGTTATGCAACTGCCAATAATTTGGTTCTATTCGATTGCCATGAAAAACGCGTTTCAGTTAAATCAGCGACGGTGACTTGATTGCTACGGAAACTTTAAATATAAGTCGGAGATACCATAAAAAAATGATACGAATCCGCATAATTTTTATACATTTTCAGTGATAAATCATAAGCCCCGTACACTTGGTGAACAATATAATAACAACTTTTAGTACATGAAATTTATTACTTACCATATTACTATTTAGAGGTATTGTGCGTTTGTAAATTTAGGAACACTCATTTTGTTTCGTGTTCATGCAACTTTTCGTGCTCAGTGTATGTCGAAACGATGACATGCCTCATGTTCGTTTTGAACCAATGCCTGTTGGAATAATTATTTCTTTCGCATCTTACATTAAAAATATCGCACTCCCCACGAAACACTCACAATTTATAAGCTTGAAAATAATTTATTTATAATTAAAAATTTATATTGAAGTGTCGTACTTATAATAAATGATAACAATAATTCAATAAAATCAATTGAAACGTTGCATTTATTATGGCAGTTTTCCGTTGTTGGTGCAACTCGTTTACAACTCAACCGAAGTTCAAAATACGATCCACTTCAATACGTCTAAGCAGATTTTATTTTTTACTATAACATAAATCGGTTAAACCAATAAGAGCAATATAATTCCAAGACCAGATTGAGGAATCGTCATGATGTGGATTAATATTTATACAAATGAATCGTTTGAAATTTTAATTATAAAATTAAATTTAACAAATAATCAGACATTATATCTATTGAACTAATATTAATCCATTTTATGTTATCTCTATCTTTTTTCAATTTCTAGCATACATTCCATATGAAATTTATGCAAAAAATAACTATAAAAAATTAAGTAATAATAATATTTATTTTAATCTATAATTAAAAAAGTATATATATCAATTTTACGAGGAAAACATTTTGTAATTACAAAATTAAGTTTCAGTAGATGATATTACAATAAATATGTTTTCTTTATTTTGCTATCAAAATTGTATATAGATGGAGTTATTTGAATTACCCCAAGTCCTATTTTTAAGTTTCACTTAATGTAAAAAAGAAAGTAAAATTAATTAACTTAATTTTTTAATATTTAATAAATCCCTATTTCATTCATATCAAAAACATTTGTAGCACAACAAAATTTAAATATTTGATTAATATCTTCTAGGATCCTGGCATTATTAAATAACGATAATTGTTAGCTCTCTCCCTGCCTAGCAAAAATAAATAGCGAAAACATCATATCTCCAAACTATCTTTAAAAGGGATATTAATCGCTAAAAAAAAAACTCATAGAGCATCCTCTACCATTATCCGAAATAATTCAGGTATACTTCAGGAGAACTGTAGCTGCCCATTGCATTTTTTTACCCCGTGATTATCTCAAGGTAATATTTATCATGATTATTAATTTAATAACATCTTTCTTTTGTTTTACCGATCAACTATTTTTTTTTTTTGTTAATTATTTTATTGAAATAAATAAATGGAAAAAAATGTTTGCTGTTTAAAAAAATCCCACCAACTCTTAAATAATAAAGTTTGAAGAAAATTTTAGTTTTCAATGGGATTTGAATACAAGAATCATGCAAATATTAAATCTTATAAAATAATTACTTGGCCTGTTAATAAGGCTAATAAAAAAGAATTACTTGGACTGATAATAAATCAGAGTAAAAACATTTCTCTAATATAGAAACGGATTTTTTTTGTGATTTTGACTTACTTGTTATTTTTTAATTATTTTTATTATATTTGTTTCGAATTATTCGAGTTATTCATGAAATATTTGATTAATTATGTTTTCAATAATAGAACTTGCATTAATTGGATTGATACAAGTCTGCAAAGCGATTACTATAAACACAATTATTATAAGCTTTAATTGTTTAATTCATGTTCATAGTATAGAACTACTGTGATAATTAATATAGAAATAGTAGTTTTTTTATCATTTATTTGCAATAAAATAACGTATCTGCGGATGTTCATTTTCACGGGGATGTGATACTCCTCACGCTCCCCTATCGTGATGATCCTGTTGAAACCAAATCTATTTATACACATTTGCACTGATTATGTATAATGTTATGAAGTGTATGATAAGATAATATACGGGCATGTTAGATAATTGCATAACCACGATGCCGTGTTAAAAGGATGGCATATTTCGACCAAAATAACCAACACATATCAGCTGTTTATACGGCGTGTCTATAAATTGACGTCGTCTAGTGCCTTGAGCGTGAACGCTGTTAAGTAAGGTTTTGAGAGCTCTGGAGACAGCTATTTATAAACATAAGGCCAATTGCAAAACAAAATCATAAAATAAATAACATTTCGATATATTATCTGTTGTTCCTATACATAATAAAATCATATATTATATAATTGTGGAGCTTAAATTTTTACAAATATTGCAAATTGCGCTTTTTATAAAACAATTAAATATTAATGCGATAATGAAGACGACCGTATTCTGTCAAATTATTTGTTGAATGGGTTTTCGTCATCTGGTACGGGCTTATCGCATACTCGAGCTAAAAATGCTGCAACACGCAAAAATAATAATTTAATCATAGAATAGTTTGCAGACAGTAATGACTCATGGCACGATACGTGATGAAACCGACTTATTGTCAAATATTAAACGTTATACTGAACATTTCAAATAAATTTCTGACGTATAATCGTATTAATTAATGCAACAATAATTTTAGAATAACTTATCATTTTAATTGAACAGAGGTATGTTATTTCGATATCACTGGGTAAACATATAATGTATTAGTAGAGGTAATTATACATTACAACAAAGTAGGTAATATATTTTTAACACAGGATATCAGAAACTAAATATTGTTAGTAATGTATTATATCTAATAGCTAAGGCATATCGAAGTAGTAATTTTAGGGAAATAACATGTGTAAGCAAATAATAGGCGTGTTACTTTTGTATAAGCATCGATGTATTATATAATTTGATGATATGATTTTGTAATCAACACTTACAATTACCAAATAGATATTTACAGAGTATTAAAATATCATCATAAACAAATGTATAAATGATAAAAAAAAACAATTACGTTGACAAAATAAATATTTAATAGGCAGCGTTTTGCAAATTATGTTTTTTGTTGAAAGCATTTAGCGATAAAATTATAACTTTAAAATCTATCAGAAATGAAATGTTTTACACTTACGAAAATGATGGTAGGTAATCAACTTAATATTGTGTGGTATATTTTTAAAGGTTATGTTTATATTTATTTAACACGGTTAAAATGGAATTCATTTCATGTCTCTCAGGCGGATCATCACTTTTTTTACGAACGCTGAAAAATAACATTGCCGAGGAAAGGTGTCATAACAGGTTTTAAAAACATACAACAGGGTGTAAAATGGTACAGGGGGTAAACAAAATGATTAAAAAATGTACTCACGAACGTAAGGGATCATACCGTCGTCGTCTTCTGGGTCCATGCAGTCCTTGACGACTACATCGAGTTCTTGATCTGTTAATTTTTCTCCTAAAAACAAATAATTAAATTTAATACTCTCTGTGGACAATTAAACTTTCATCAATTAATTATATTAACTGATTTGCGTTGAATAATATTATGGTACTCACCTAAAGACAGAAGAATGTGGGTCAATTCTCCGCCCATCATGTGACCATCTTCAGCTTTGTCGTACAATTTCAAACATTCAATAAAATCTTCATACACACCTTGATCTTTGTCCTTTGACACTTGTGAATAAATGGGATAGAATTCATCAACCATGATTTTCTTTTCGCCTAGTGATACATACATTTTATTACTTCTAAGATTACCTAATTAAAATTATTCTATCGCCCAAGATTTAATTACTTACCCTTCTTCTTGGTGCCTCCCATCTTTTCTATGGTGGCCAAAGTCGGGTTCAATTCTAAGGCACGGAGAAGGTCTCCAATGTAGTATGCATCGACTCCTTCGTTTGTACTGTCGTAGATAGACCACACAAAGTTGACGCCTGAAAATTTGCAAACGTTTTTCTCTCACACATATTCCAGTTATTATGGCAAAAAATAAATAAAAGTAAATGATAGAATTTAAATTAAATTACTTACGGTCTACTTCACTTTTGGATAAATCGGCCTATAAAAAAATTTTCATTAGATTTCAAAAAATGATAAATCGTTAAATTTGAGTGAAACAATTTCAAATTTACAATAAGAAAGAATAAATAATTTTATTTAACGCTTACCATTTTTACAAGGTGTGCAGTTTTATCCCTAGTGTATCCTCAACGAAAGTGCAAACAGAATTAGACTAGCAAGATTCAATCTCGTCGTTCTGGCAAATGACCCACTACTGCCCAGCAGCATTCTTTGGCACTATTTATAAACTATTTATTTTCAAACCACGTCCGCCTATATCATATTGCACCTCGACTGTACTTTTAAGGGAAATAAAGAAAATTATCTCACTGACTAACAATAAACCTGCATATAAATTAATAACTTAACTTTAAAGATTTCAAAAACAGAAAAACAATAATTTTAAGATTTATTGATCAATTATTTTACGAATGGTGGCTAAATAGTAGTACAAAAATTATATTTTTTATAGGTACGATTAAGACTGCATAAATCATGAATTACCTTGTTCAAAAATTATTTAGTACTACATAAAAAGTCTAAGAATAAATAATTAAGGAATAGAAATTTTTAAAAACTTGACAAATTATTTTGCTTTTTTGTTTATAAATTACATTTTTTTAATCATAATCATTAAAATATTATTAATCTACTTATTACTTTAATATTAAGTCTTTAAGTAAATTTTCGGCTAAATATTATACCAATTAAAATTTTATTAACCACGATCAGAACACTTCCATAAACTTTTACACAGTTAATTATTATCTAGGAAGAACTTAAAAATGTTATTAGTGCAAAGGTTATAATATTTATAACCTTTATAATAGGTTATAATTAGTTATAAAGGTTCAAGTAAAAAATAAAACAAATAGTAATTTATGTTTTGTTATAATTTTTTCGTATTTCATATTATATAATTTAGTATTTTGATGTTAAAACAACACAGCTATGATAATAATGCCTTGTTATTATCACCTCAATATTTTTTTATTTTATACAGTGAAATAAATAAATTTATAAAAATTATAATTGAATTTTAAATGTTTAAAATTTTTTTTTTTTGAAAATTCCATGAAATTGAATCCTAATATCAGTACGTCAAAGCATGGGTCACTATTTAAGAGTAAAATTATTCATTCAAATGTAGACATTCATTTTACTAATTTTATATACCTAATTTTAATATATGATTTAATCATTTTGAGTACAATAGTTTTACAACAAATATTCAATTTTAAAAATTGTATTTAATGAATCATTTAAAACTCATAAAAAACCTTTCTTTACCCTAATATAGATGATATTATAACGTTTAAATAAAAGTTCAGTAACACTGATGGATGATCATATTAAAAATAAAACAGTATTTCAGCTAAAATTCTTAATTTTAGTGATAATTAGAAGAAGTTAACACATTAATTTAAAAAAAAAAATTGAATTAAAGTAAAATTGTCATTTATAAGCATTTATATTTATAAATATTTATAGAAATATACAATTTTTACCTAATATCACACATGTTTGAAAATACAACTCAATTCCACACACATTTTATAAAAGTATTAGTAATTTAAACTTATTATAATTTATTATAAAATGTTTAAATTAATATTATATATATATTAATTTTTTAAAGACTATAAGAATTTAAATCAATTAAATGATTTTATAAAACTGCAAAAATTGATAATATTCAATATTATTATACGTAATAGATAAAAAAATATATAACAAATTATTATTAAATATTCTTTTCTCACTCTCAAAAAAAAAATCTGTATAAAATTTTAACAACATTTCATAAATTCCATTTATATTTAAAACTCGTAAACATTGCATAATACTTGAAAAAAGAAAACTACTTTTTTACAAGTTATTACAACATTGTTACTTTAGGATAATAAATTAAATGAAAGTACTTAATTTTAAAGAACATATCTTTATAACTTTAGTTTATTGTAAATAACAAAAATAAAAAATAACAATATTAGTACACAATAGCTACATTTAAGCTTCATTTAAAAAAAGTAGAATAACAAAAAAAAAAAAATTATATGATAATTATAATAATAATAAATAAATGATTAACAAAATATAAGAAAATTTGTACTATTATATTTTAAAAAGGACTTCATTTATAATGGAATGGATCTAATAAGACTTCAATAACCACTTTATAAAATAAAAATTATTATTTTAAATTAATACTTCATAATTGGTTCACCAGCAGTCTTTCTTTTATATATATATATATATATATATATAAAATATTAAGTATAAAACTATAATCGCGGCATATTTGTAAAAATTATAATATAAAACAAACCAACTTAACATTATGTTTTACAAATAGTTTTAATGAAGCACCTTAATAAATGAGCTTCTTTTTTTAATTTTTAACTTAATACTAAATTTTTTTTATTAAAACATAGCTTATTTGAAAAGTCATTTAATGACACTAAAAATATATAATTTATGTACATAGAAATAATATGTATAATTAATGAAATATTTTAATCAATTCCAATAATTTTTAAATGTGTAAACAAATAAAAATATAATCAAATAATAAAATTTGAAATAATTAAATTTAGATAAAATTTTAATTTAAAAATTACAGAAGGTGTTAATAATTATTTTAATGTGTTTTGTTAAAAAAATGTAATTTTTGATAAAATATTTCAAAACTTATGTATTAAAAATTATCTTTTAAATTTTACAACATTTATTTATTTCATATAACAATATATACTTTTAAATCTAAAATTATTATTTCATTTTTTAAATCTATCAGGTACGCGTGAAGTATTGTTATCTTAAGAAACTGTTAAAACCATCAAATCTTTTTAGTTTTTAATTTTAATAAAGAATGAAACATATTTTTAGAAGTTAGTACAAATAAATACACATTAACATGACAGTAAAATACAATTAACAAATATATACCAAAAAAGTAATATATTTATATATATATATATATATATATATAATTATAATAATTTGTACTTTTAAATTTAATTAATATTTAAAATATTAGTATTTTTTATGTAAATAAAATACTAAATAGAAGTATATAAACATAAGTACATTAATCATTAAAAATTACTTGGGTATGAAATATAAATTTAATTAATTTCATGGAATGTGAGAATAAGAAATCATTTAAAAAATATATTATTTATACATTTTTTAATTATAAATTTAACAGCAATAACAATGTAATTGACTTTTATGTAATTAATATTAGGACTATAAAAGAACTATTCAATTCTAAGCGCCATTTGAGATCCATTATTATCTCTATTAGAAAAGGTTCAGTTAATAGTCTTTTTGTATTAATATTAAAATATAAAATAAGAATAGGAACTACTTTTAAATTGATGTAAGTTTGAAACATACAAACATAAAATATTTATCTTACATAACGTATAAACAAACATTTTAAAATCCAACAAAAATTGAAGGTCTTTAAAAATAATAATACATAACTACAATTAACTTGTTTCTCATAACTTAAAACAGAAGACATAAATAAATCTACCGGTACATAGGATTTTCTTTATAATCTAACTTATAGTATTAATAAAAAATAGTTATTCCATTTAATCATTATTTTTATTTTGGCAAAAATGTTGATGAGTAATAAACTTAACAACAAACACCAAAAACACTACAATACAATAAACAAACAACTTAAAATGGCAAAAATAAACATAACGCACAATTATAATTTATTGTAATTTTAATAGGCATAAAATATTTATAAATGTTATTTGTACTATAGTTCTGAGTTTTGGAAACATGTAATAGATTTCAATAACATCAGATAGTTAAAAATTCATTATTTTTAAATGAAACACTTATAAATATATCAACAATATTTAAAAACGCTTTTAAGAATCTCACTTTATTATGTGATGATAGAAAAAAATATTTCATAACCATAAAATAGAATTTTGTTAAAATTTAAAATCTTTATAAAGTCTAATATAAAATAAATTTTTGAAAAAATGAATCCCATATAAATAAATAGCATAGGCCAAAAAGTTAATTTATAATAACAATTCCTTTTAAATTCTCATTTAAGGTTATTAATTTAATATAAATGTCATTGACAACTAAGTTACATCATATTAAAAAAATTCATATTATATCATAACTTTATAGTCACTTGTTCAAAAAAAATATCACTAGTTATACTGAAATAATATGACAATACTATAAACTTTTGGTAATGTCTTTACATACACCTTAACTTTGACCAACTGAAATAGTTGAATGAAGATGAAATCAATCTCAGGAACCCTCAAATAAGTAGTAACTTGATGTTATAATTTTGGCACAAATATACATATTTATGATAAAATCATCTGACAGCAGATATTTTATTAATCTCAACATGTTCATGAAATCCATCATCAATAACACTATAATCTCCTCCTTTTTGGCTTTTCACTAACTGATCACTACAACCAGATTCTTCTGTTCCAGCACCTCCTTCTGCTGACTCACTTAACAAGCTATCTACATCATAATTGTCTGCATTTACCAAACACTATACAAAAAGTAAAAAAAGAATTTGTATTATTTATTTCATTTTTTAGAATATTATTAAATAATCTTACTTGAGGATTTTCAATAATATGCATATTTAATAAATTATGCTCCCTCAAGCTATTTTGTTCTAAAAGAGGCATTGCCATACTTGAATTATTGTTTTGAAAACAACCTCTACTATCTATAAATCTAGTAATATAATGAATATCATTTAATGGAACACTTTCTTCACTTTGTACATGTTCAATTGTAATTGGAAGCATATGCTGTGAACAATATGCTGCATCACTGGCAATTGAATTTTGTTGTATTTCTCGTAGCCTTTCAGCTTTGATACATTGTCGTTTAAGTACAATACTTGTGGTACAAATAATAATGCAACATACACCAATAACACAGCCAATAACTATTCCTAGTAACTGTTCATCTTCAACATAAATTGATGGCTGTTCAATTGTATGGTTAGATTTAAAAGATAATTCTTTTAGGGGTGTTAATGGCTCAATAGAAAAAATTCCACTTTGAGGCCCAAAACCAGCATCTGTAGCAGCTCGCAGCATGAAAAAATATCTTGTGTTGTTGTTTAGTCCATATAACTATAAAATGAGGTAATAATAAATCTAGGAATTATCTTTTATGTATATAAATAAATAATAACTCACGTCTAGATGATTTTTACTGCGAGATACATTTAGCTGTTGCCAAGATGTTGGTGGTACATTGAGTTCAGATGTATAAGATACATAATAAGCCATAATTATGCCATTTGGTTTAATGGGTTCTAGCCAACTTATTCGAACAGTGCTAGCATTAAGCCATTGAGAAGTTATATGTTCGACAATGCCAGGCACTAAAACAAATTTGATAAATTACTCATGAATAACTCAGAGTTCAACAATAAAAAATAAATAAAAGTAGAGAGTGTATGTTAATATAAATTTATGTAAAATAAAAACAATGAATACTAGATAGCAGAAAATTTAAATGTTTCAAATAATTATATTCTATTTTTAAAGTATAATATTTATAAAATTATTTTTCATTTAAGCTACGTCACAAAGCTGAAAAGGTATCAGCTATACCACAATGTGTTTATTTTTTTGTCTGTCTATAAAAGTTTTCAATTCTAACTGGACAAATTTTGTTGATATATGCCCTGATTTTAATCTAGTGGAATCTATCAGTGCCAAAAATTGAAAATACTTCTCAAATTTAAGAATTAAAAAAAAAATCTCAAAATCTAGGATGTCTACTATCCTAAATTCAAAATGTACTAGATTTTTTATTAACAATTGTGTATTTTTAAAAATAATAACTTACCTCCTTGAAGAGTTCGTACTTGTACTTTTTGGCTGTATTCACTTTTTCTATTACTTTTATCTTGGGTAGAAATTTTAAATTCGTATATTGAATAAGGTTTTAAACCATTAATTTCAAGAGTTGTAGCACCACTAAAAAAATTCAAGACTTATTGTTGTTTATTTTATAAACAAGATAAATTAGTCATGGAAAATGTAATAATATAAAATATCATCTTACAGTAATTTAGTTAATAAAATAACAAGTTATAATTATAATGAAAATTATCGATTGTGGCAAATATTACTTAAAAATTAAATTAATTTTAATCATATGAATACTTACAGATCAGTAACAACAGTAGTCAAATTTTGAGAATAATTTGATAAAGTACTATATGAAACAATAAATAGTAGTGAAGAAGGATCAGCTGAATGAGGAGGAACCCAAGATAGATTTAATGTATGCAATGAAGCAGCAATTGCTTCTATTTGAGATGGTGGAGATAACATATCTAAGACTACAGATATAGTTTTAGAAACAGGCTCTCCTTCTCCACTTTCAGATACACAATTCAACAGTATTTCATAAACATCCATCGCATCTAAAAAAATTCATCATTTTTAACATACTTAATGTTAAATAAATGTGAAGATTTCTTCATTACTTAAGTAATTTATTGTATGTTGATTTATTGTTGGACTAAATGTTTTTAATGTCATTATAGATTGATTTGTTTGATTAGTAGTACGATACATGAGTTTATATGAATCAAATAAAGCTGATTGGTCTGTGACATACCACATCAACTATAACAAAATATTTTTATTATATAAAAATACCTATTATAAGTTTTTTTAACTAAACAAAATTAAAATTATATATTATACTATACACACCTTGATTGAATTAACAGTTTCATAAGATAAAATAGGAATAGGTAAATTGGGATTAGAAGCTGGTAATTCAACAATTTGCCAAGAAAAATCATTATCAGGTAATTTGGTTTTAGTTACTCCTAAAACTTGAACTTCATACTGTCCTCCTGATTTTAGTCCTGAATAATTAAAACATAGTTATTTTTGTTAATAAATGGTATTATAGATATCAATTTTCATTTTATACAAAAAAAGTTATATACAGAGTGATTTGTTTATCATACCCACTCAATTACTTTCAGAATAAAATTAATTTTAACTTTTTTTTTTTTTTTTTAAATTTAGTTGCTTATTATTCTTGAATTAATAGCTATGTAATATTTCTAAATTCATTCCTTATGCCTTGTAAGGGCGTCAACTTTGTGATTTCAAAAGGGAACACATACATCCAATTTAATAAAATGTTAGAGGTTTTATTTTAATAGCAAAAGGCATTTGAATTTTTAACATAACTTTATTCATTTATTAGATATAAACTTAAAAGTTTCAAATTTTTGAGATAATATACATGTATATTATACAAGGAATTGAAAATACAGGTAGCTAATTGTTTTTTTATGACGCTGCTATTGGGCGATACACAGCATTTATAATCAATTATGAAATTATCAACAGATATGTTCTCTGTATTGCCAGTTGGTGTATTTATAAATGTTAACTCACAACATATGTTGTATATACAATTATACTTTAAGTACATCTATTGATAAAGTCATAATTGACAATAAATGCTAAAAATAAAAATAATGAGCTACCTGCATTTATAATCCCTTATATAGTATACATGTATATTAATTAAAAAATTTGAAAGTTTTCAATTTTATATATAATAAATGAATCTATTTGTCGCTATTTAAAGATATATAACGATTATTGCCAATTGCGGCTTAATTGAGTGATAATGACAATAAACGCTGGTAACTATGCTTTTTTTATGACCCGTCATAATGAAATCATTAGCTACAGTTTAGTATAATCCTTTGTAAATTATTATATTACATAATTAGTACATTTACATAATTAGATTTAGACAGTAATTTAACTAAAAAATTCAAAACTTAAGTATTACATCTAATAAAACAGATGAAATTCCATTAAACTCAGACGTCATTGACTATTAAAATAAAACTTCAAACATTATATTAAATAAAAAATATGTGTTACCATTTAATAAAATAAAGTTTACACTCTTACAAGGCATAAAATATGAACTCTACAATAATATGTAGTAAAATAATTTTTATTCTTCTTTTCAAAGACAAAGTCCTTATTTATAATTTTCATAAATGGAACCAACATTTTTAACTTTATAATATGATATAAAAAATATTACAAAGAACTTTGATCTTGCAATTTTTTTTAATACGATCAATCGTTTGCGTTTTACACATTACATAGAGTGTTTTTAATAAATAAGGCAACGGGTTTCTATTGTCTTCATTATTTGTAATAATTTACCTGTTTCCTTACTTACTGGACACCTTGTATCAAGATTTGTAATGTCAAGTAAAAATTCATCATTGATTTTGTTTTATAATAACAGTGCACTACAGCCGATACTATTACTACCACCACGGTGGTAATAATCTATTATATTGTTTATTATAATAGTTTTCATGAAATATTATCCACTCTGGTTATCTAAATGAAAGATAACAGTAATATATTGTTGCTATCAAAATAGATAATTTCTGCCATGAGTATTATAAAAACAAATTAATCATTAATTTTTACTTAATTTTTACTTAATATCCAAACCTTTAAATAATGTGTAAAACAGTTGATCAGATAAAAAAATTATAAGAAATAAGATGTAAGATATTTTTTTCTATCATATTATAAAGTTAAAAATAGGGTTTTAGAAAATTTTAAATAAAGATTTTTATCCTTGTAGAGATAAAAAAAAATTTAACTACATATTATTGTAGTTTTTTGAACCTCATATTTTCTCTTTATAGACATTTAGAATTCACAAGTTTCTGAGTAAATGAATGTCTTACCAGATTTCCATCACTCTGTAAATTTTTGAACAATATATAACTTAACACATATTTATTTATTATTTTTTGAAGGCAAATTCTTGGAATGAAAATAAAAAAACATTAAAATACACTGTGCACTAAACAAAACAACTTAGTTTGCTTAAGAATACCTGCATTTTCTTAAATAACAAAAAATTTTATTTTAAGCCTATCATAATTAAATACTTTACCTGTTATTGTATACTGTAAAATATTCTTTGAAAGCATTTGTACATAATTAGATGGGCTGTGAAGTCGTCTCCACATCACTTGATATTGAGTAATAGCACCATTTGTTAAGCTTACTTGAATTGCAGACCATTCTATACGAATTGATACTGGACTGAGTACAGTAACAGTCAATTCTGGTACTGTTTGTGGAGCTGAAAAATGATTGTTTTATAAAAATATATAAAAATAATTTTTTTTTTTCATACCTTCATCTTGAGTTTTGCAAGTGACTTTTTCAGATTGGTCAGATCCAGATTTACCATTATAAACTCGTACATAAAATGTATAATTTTTGTATGGCATTAATTTGTCAACTATTATAGAGTGATTAACACTCACTGCTAAGGATTCTTCTCCGCCATCTGTTATTAATAATTTATTATCAAACCCATACAACAATTAACTACTTAATTATGTCTTTATAAAACAATTTTACCTGTAGGCATGTAATGAATTGTATAGGCTCGTATTATCTTACTAGGTGTTTCAACCAAATCAGGAACTGATGAAGAAACACTACTATGAGATGAACCAAGTTGTACAGAATCATCTCGAACTATGATGGGTGGATCATCATGTATATCAGAAAGAGATTTGCGCCATGAAACTTGAATTTTAGTAGGTGATAATGTACGACAACTGATATTTATAGGAGGAGCTGGTTCATATGGAGATGAACTGATAGTGAGCATTGCTCCTGCCCAAACTGTTCCATAGTTATTTGAAGCAAAACATTGGTAGATACCAGAATCATTTGACACAGTATTACTTACTAATAAATACTTATCTTTGAGCTTAATACGGCCTAGTATAGTAAAACAAACATAGAATATTTAAAAATGAATAAAATTATGCTTTATTACACTAGTTATATCTATTTAATTTTTAATATTTACCTTGCAATTTTAAACGATGTCCATTATGATACCATGTTATATTTGGTATTGGATTTCCTTCTGCACCACACCTAAATCGTATTGAGTTTGCTATAGGAATAGTTTGAGTTTCTGGTTTAATGACAATAGAAGGAGTAGTAAATACTTGCAAATGGAAAACCTATCACATAAATATGAAATAAATTAAATTGTTATAATTTGTTTTAGTCAAATGAAAAGGAGACATTACTCTAGCATGTGGAAAATCAGGCCATCCTGTCATCGTTTGAAAAGCATGACATGTATAAGTTCCAGAATCTTTTATACCAACACTAGTTAAACTCAAAATACTAACAGCATTATCATTTTTATTCAGAATAATGGGTTTGTTTCCTAAAAAAAATTAATTTTAAAATTAAGATATTATGTAAAAATATGGTAGTAATTAAACTAACCTATTGATGATGTAAATGACCAATTCAACTGTGGAGCAGAAACTCCAATAGCAGCACATTCAAAAGTTATATTATCCCCTTCTGCTACATTCTTTACTTCCAAACTTTCAGGAGATATAAATGCCAAAGGTAAAATACCTGATTGAATTTCTGAAGACCCATTTTGAACTTTTTCAAGGATTAGATGACCAACACTACTAAACTTTACCTTATTAAGCAATTCGTTAGTCGCTGAACATCTAAATGATAAAATAAACAATGAAAATTTAATATAACACACAAATTTTTATTTTGTAACTTATAGTATATAACATAAGCTTTAATTTAAAATATGTTTAAGATCGGAGTTATTACGGAACATTTTCAAAAGTTAAGTTGAAAAGGTCAACTTTTTATGCAATCAAAAAAATATACATATATAATGAATAGGAAATACTTAGTTATTTAAAAAAATTGTTTTGATTCCATTTTAAAAAAGGTTTAAAATATTGAAATTTACCAATTTTAAAATTCTTAACTATTTTAGGGATTTTCGACTTTTACAGGGAAATATGAAAATTTTTTCCATTTTGTGAGCAATGACTTTAAGTAGATACAATTTGTAATCTTTTGTTGTATTGCTCAGTAGAATTTGTCTCATGAAAGCTGAGAAAAATAAAAATAAAATAAACATCATAAAAAAATTAATACTTTCTCAGCTTTGATCAAAGCTAAAAATTATAGTTTAAATAAAAGCTAATATAAACTAAAATAATATTTACATAAAATTATGAGATACTATTTTTTCCCTATTTTTATGTTTATAACATTATATTATAATTACATAAATACAAGTTGACATCAGTTACTCTAAAATTTTAAGAAAAAAAAGTTGGTGAGAAAATAAACTAAATAATTAATTTGTAATTGAACAGAATATTTAGTTTTCTTAAAGTTACCATAAACAAAGTCAATAGATTATAAATTATTTTTAAAAATTGTTATAGGAATTTAATAAGTATTAATATTTACTTATATTCTCCAACATCACTATCAACAATCTTTTTAATGTATAGTACACCAGGTATCTTGGTTATATACCTAAAAATGTAAAAAAATATTAAAAATAAAATTTTTAATGGGTTTAGTACACAGTAGAATGTTTTTATTGTTTTAGCTAAACAAAAGTTCAGTAAAAATACAGTTAAAATAACACTTGCCTCATATCATCATCAGGCACTTTCTCTCCATTTTTAAACCAAGTAATTTTAGCATCAGGAATAGAATATATATTACAAGAAAATCGAATTGCTACACGACTAGCTTCTGAACTGACTGTCACATTAAGAGGTGATATGATAAAATCGTGAAGAACTGAAATATACAGATTAAAAATAAAAACTTCAATGACTTGTTATTAAAATCTAAAAAATTGATAAATAAGAAAATATAAATATATATATATATATTATATTAAATTTGAATAATACATGATAACTCATAATTTTAAAAACTAAATATTATGAAAAAGTATAAAAAAATATTTAATTATAATTTATAAAAAAATAATTGCATTGTTTTATGTAGCTAAATTTTTTTAACCAACTTACTTATATAAATTATAAAAAAGAAAATAATCTACACAAAAACATTTTTTTGTCCAGCATGAATTTTAGTAAATAAAACTTGATCAGAAATTTATACTATTATTTTAATTAAAAAAAAGTTCTCGACACTTAACTCAAAAAAATAATTTAAATAATGATAAGACATAAAAAAAAATTGAAATATAACATTTTTTGTTAGTAATGAATTAATAACAATTAATACAAGTCAACATTATTTCAAAAAATATTCAAACTTAAATAATTACGAATATATTTATCGTGTTAAAAGCATATATATTATATAGAGAGGTCCATAACAAATCTAATAACTTTTGATCCAATAAATATTTTGGGTTATTCTAATTTTTTAAAGTAATTTTTACAGTTTTGAATTATCTTAAAAGCATATTTTGTATTATTTGTTAGTTGTATAATTTAATAACCTTTAAGTATAATATATTGTGAATGGATTTGAGAAATAAAAACTCAATATTTGAACTACTGTGTCATATTAAAATAGTTATAATACAATAAAATTATAAATATATCTTAATTTTAAAGTTCTACTTAAATTTTTATAAAATTACCTGCAGTTTGCAATGTTATTATTTTTGAGGAAATAGCGCCATATGGCGTTTGTACTATACATCTGTAAGATCCCGCATCACCAGATTTTTTATTTATTATCTGAAACAACCAAAAGGGTAATGATATTTAAGAAATGAATTCAATCGACTTTCTTTAAAATAATTTATATGTTTCTAAGGATGAATTTAAGGGAATATGAAAGTAGAATACTCCTCTATTACAAACTGAGTCCTAGTTGACAAATATACATATAAGTTAAAGACCTTATATTTATACATATTGCAATTTTATATAAGTTGGCAAATTTTGGTACATTACTCCCTACAAAAAGTTTTAAAAATTAGAAATTTATGTTTATTTGTCCTTTATGTTTCAAATTTTATACTGATATCATTGTTGATTGTCTCAAAATTATTTAATTTAAAATAAATTTTACATAATGGCATAATTAGTTACGGGAGCACACCTTCAATAACCTCAAATATTTTTATAAATATATTGTGTTGGTAATTCATTTAGGCCCATATATTATGTTATAAGTTACATGATTAATCTATACAATCATCAGTTTAAATTATTTTAGGCATTAAATGATAATTTATATTCGCTGTGCTTGATATTAATTGTCTCATTTGATTTGAAATGCAGCGAATAAAAATTTTTTTAATATTAAAACCTCCTAATTCTTAAATACTATTTACACATATAGTTACCCATATAATTTATTTTGATGAAGGATCACTTTGGGTACCAGATATACATATTATAAATGTATATAAGCGATGGAACCATGTTCAATGATAAAATCAGTGGTATATTTAAAAAAAAATCTTTAAAGGAGTTTTGAAAATTTCAAATGAAGAAGGCAGTATACATTTTTCTTAATTTACCCTTTCCCTTGAAGTAACAATGCTTAATATTTAGTAGAATTATAATTAGAAAAAAAAGGTCTTGAAAACTAATAAAATGAAACGCCCAAAAAATGTGTAGTTGCATCACTGGTATGTGACTTAGTACATTTTTTTGGATAAAAACTTGGCTCTGGAAAGGTTTTGATCCAGCTCCCTCCATCATAAATATACTCTGGAAAAAAGCGTAATTCTCGCAAAAAATTTTAATTGATGAATTATTAATAGTAATAAATTCCGAACTATATTATTTACAAAAATAATTGTAGAGAAAAATTATACGTTAAAAATATAAATAAGATAACATTTTTCTAAAGCATAACTATGCATTCTTTGTAAAACAAATATTTCCCGTGGCCACATAATATCATTTGATATTTTTAGGGGCCGCTAAATTATATTTTTTAAACCCTTAGATTTTGTCAGGGGTTGCAACTGCTTTTGGATAAAATATTTGTGGTCTTAATCATTTTACTTACCGAATTAAAATATAACGAGCCATTAGGCAAAACTTTGCGACGTGTATCGTTGACTAGAGACAAGGTATGATTATTATGCACCCAATGGTATGTAACATTAGAAAGGGGCGAATGACACCGCAACTCGAACGGTTTACCTCTAACTGCTATTACAATTTCAGGTGGTTCAAAAATCCATGATGATACAGTATCGTTGCTGGCCGTATTTATTCGACCTGAAATTAATACAAATAATGTTTAAAAACGATACAGTTAGAATCATTAAAGTAGTCTATTTTTTTGTACGCATTAACCTATTAATAAATATTCTTTGTCACGTATTGCAAATTTTAATAATTGCAAAATTTTAAAAATTACTAACAATTGTAAGTCAGTGATTTATAATAGAAATAGATCTAAATTGTATTAACTCTAGAATATTAAAAATATAATGTGTTTCATTTAGTAGGGCTTATAAATAGAACTAGAAATTATATACATTTATATATTTTTCTTGAGCTATTTTGAAAAGAATCTTACTACATTATTATTATTTATTATAAATGTAGAATATATGTATATTATAAATAAGTCATATAAAAAGTAATTAAAAATCTATGTGGTTAAATTTGTGTAGCTGATATTTTCAAATATTTTCAGTTTCAAAACTTTATTCAATTTATTTTTGATAACACATTAATATCAAAAATTCCTTTAGAAATTCTTCTATTTTTTGCTACCTAATAAAATACTAGTACTAATATTTTACTTAAAAATGCTTGCCCGTTAGAAGAGCAATGCAACCAATGATTTTCAAAAACCTAGTTAAAATCATCTTTCTTTTTCGCTTTTAAATTGTATATAAATCTCTACTTGAAAAAAAAACATGTAGCATTAGTATCACAAAGATGTAGTGATCTATACATTTTTGTTTGTATTATTTATAAAATTAAGCCAAATTTTTAATCTATGGTCACCATTATTCATTTAACCTTTCAAAAATGTGTTTTTATTATTAAGAACATACAATAAAAAAAAATATTATTGACTAATGAACTACATTTTTTTTTTTATTACCTCTGGCGTATAATATTATTAATCGACTAATATATTGATATTTAAGTACTTTAAACTGTAGTATCTGTTATATAACAATTGACTAAAAATATAGTTTCGATAAGCAAGTCATTAAGATTTTCTAAGAATATATAAAATAGTAATAAATTCACACAAAGAAGACACAATTATATTTTTTATTCTAAATTTAATATTTTATGAACCTTTAATGAAGTTTAATTCTTTATTATACTTTTATCCTTAAGTACATATACAACAATAATACTAATTAAAACTATAGTGTTTTATAACATACAATAAATCTTTATATTTCAAACATAATTAATAGCTTCACACATTAATAGTAATTATAGGCATAATTTTTGAACTATTCTAAAATAGTGGCTTGTGTAAACTCTTTTAATTTTTTAACAGTTATTTAATATAGAAAGATTTTTAAAATGATTATTTTTAATAGAAAAGTATAACTTAAAAAGGAGCCCCATTAATTTTAGTAGAGACTTTCAAAGAATTATTTTATATAACTTCAATTGTAATAACTCAGGCTTGCTTTTATGTTACTATATGTATAAAACAGTAAAGGGCAAGGTTCTATAAAAATATGTAAATAGGTTAATTTCGGAAACATACGCTTTGTCTTATATACCTAATATAAACTAATGTAATTTAAAAAAGGAGCTTGTTTAATAATAGTTGTTTATTTGATATTCATGAAATTCAACTGCTAGCAGAAAAATAATTTTACCACCGCTGATTTATTTAGAAAATTAGCTTTACTCTATATTTGCTTTTTCATTCATATATCGGAAGTTAAGACACACGTTTCCCATTAGTATGACAATCGCATCGACCGTAACCTTGAGATATAACGTTATACTTTACTGAGGTTGTTGGTCGTGTATGATCAACGACCCAAGAAAATAAAAAAATAAATACGTAGGCATAGTTTACTACTAGCAAGCTTGACGGCAGTTGATCTCTGCTATCCTAAATAAATAGTTTCAAAATAGTTGTTCACACAGATACTATATGGTCACACTTTTCGATATAAATACAATGAGATAACATTTATAACTTGTACCAGAAAGTAAACTGAATAAAATAAATGAAAATTATAAAGTATAAAGCATACGAAAAATAGTGAACACTGATTATTCGCTTTGATGAATGACCTCGACCTCGGAAGTTACACACATCATAGGGAGTTGTTCTAGATCGCATATTTTTTTGTCCGCAGCAATCTTTTTGGGCTGCGTAACTGTCATCACCGACTAATAATATTATGAGCGACTCTCCGAAACAGCCAACGGCTACAGAGAATGAGCACGTTATTCAAGGCCAATGCCATCGCCAAATCTTATACATACCGCTCGGTGCTATTCTAACATCATTCTTCTTTTGTCAAACCATCACAGTCGTACAACACTACACATGCTTTGATTTATATTGTCCTATCTTAATAAAAAAAAATATAAGAAAACAATTCTTTTTTACCACACAACTGCTTATCTAATTTTGCGTCTCGTATTATACCATCACATCATAACATTGTGATTGGTTGTAAATATAAACGTTTTTCCGAGTTATTAGATAGACGTGAGGTACAATCGAAATTGATTTTTTCATTTAGTTGCTATATCAAATTATTATGTGTATTAACTAATTATCATTATAATAATACTTATTATCATTAACATTTGGCCCTAATAATTAATAACGACAAATAAAGCTATTTTTGGATCGATATATTTCAAACAACTTACTTGGTTTTGTCATAGTAGGGATAGGTTTTACTACTTTCAGTCATTACTAATGACGAAAATTAGGCTCTATAGAGGTGCACGACTCTTTTGAGCCATTAGTGACTACAATCAAATTGCTGTCTAGAACCAAAAAAAAAAATGTTATTAAGGAGGATCGCAATACATAATGATGGTTTTGGGATCGAAACCTGAATTCTTCAAGAAATAATTATTACTATTCGTTTTAAATCGATTTACTTTAAAGAATCGCCCATTCCTAGTTGCATGCATTAGTTGGATAGGTGAACTCGGGTCTGAAGTGGAATAATCAACGGGAGCACGCTTTTTATTATGATTATTATTATTGCGTAAACCGGTTTTAATGGATGGATATTACAAGAAAAACGCACAAAGTAAAGTCACAGCACACTGTAGCTATAATATCAGATATCTGGAAACAAAAATTTATGTAAATATTCAACAGAAGTTCTTTATTTGAATAATAGTCCGTCCTGGGTTTTTATCGCGCAACCAGACATCGATGAATTTTAATTTTTTAACAACAAGCAATATATGAATGTACTTTTTTGATTTTTTTTTGAATCTATGAGAGAAAAATTATTCCTATCTACTTTGCATAGGTACTACAGAAAATACATAAAATGTGAAAATGATACGTGTTCTAAAACATTAATTAAAAGTAATTACTAAAAAATCGAAAATCCAACTTTGTTCGATAACGAAATACTACGAAAGACAAAAGGCAACATTGTAATCAAAAAAAATTTGAATATTGAATGAAGAACCAAAATGAACTTTATGAAGACCATTAATCAAACTGATCTTAACAGTCGTCGAAATTATACGAATTTTTTCATTATTCTATAATGGTACTTTACTCGTTTCATCCGATTTAAAAATCCACATTGTAACCACGTATTATTTAAAAAATTATATTATTATATTTATTGAGGTACAACATTTGTGTATCAATAATAATAATAAATGTTAAACAAATACCTATAAGTAAAAACAACATGTAAAAAAAAAACAAATTACCTAATTCATTTCAATTATTTTTTGACAATAATGCCTAACCAAAGGAAAATACTGAAATAACAAAACATTATGGAGACCATACAGTTGAATTTTAACAGTAAGCAAAATTCTGTAAAAGTATAAAAAAAACTTGAGTTCACTAATAAAGTATTAGTGTATAAATAAATAAAACGGATTTTAATTGAAATAATTCGATTAAACTAGTTTTTAATAAAAAATAAATAGAAATTTTAAATTTCAACTTAACGATAAAAAAAAAATTTAAAAATTAATCATATTCAATTTCATACTTGACTGATAATGAGATTAATTATCATCCTATAGGAATGAATTGTTTAAATATCAAGGTTCCGCTCCATTTTTAATTTACTAATTGCTTTTATATAATAAGAAGTTTAATAGACACGGAGAAAAGATAAATCACGAAATTTTCAAAACGACATTTTTTGTATTGGTTATTAAGTATCAATAATAAAATTAAAAGTTCAATGATTAATTTCTTGCGTTTTACTATATTATTCAATATAAAGATTACATCATTAACACATATTAGCACATGAACATTAATAAACAATATTTTCTAATGTTTTTATTTTTTAAACATTAGAAGGATTTTAAATAAAAATCTAAGTGTATTGTCAAAAATATTTTTAATAATATGATGATAATTAAATTACACTTATTTAATATTCGTTTAACATTCCATACTTTTTATTCTATCCTACATTTTTTTTTAACTAGTTGAACATAAATGATTTTGTGTATAATAAGCAATCTAATAGTTATATATTTTTTATACATTTATTTATTAGATAAAATGATACATATAAATTATAAAACTATAATAGATTTATGTATTTAGCATTATATCAACGATTGGTTTAAAATAATAGCGAAAAAACTGACAATGAACATTCATAAATACAGTATCTGATTTAGTTTCAATGGTGAGATTTACAATTTTTTTATTATGGCACGTTGATGAACGTGTCCAACACAAAGACCACTATTGATTCTTACGAATTCAACATCTCTTAAACTTGAGTTTATAATAGAAACAAGAATTATACACAAGTTTTCAAAAACTTGAAATTCATGCATATTAAGTTTGAAACACAGTATATATAAACCAATGAAAAAAAAAACGATTGTAAAAGCTACATATTGATACTATCATATGTTAAATGGAAATAATAAACATAAATAAACAAATACAAAGTTATCGCGACTTAATTATATTTAAAAGTTGGCAACTCAAAAATAGCATAAATATATAAGGCGTTTAATCAAAACTGACTGAAAAACACTGTTCTTACGAATTGATGTATAACATACTTTTTTGTTGATGTACCAAACGT